AAAAAAAACACCTGAAAAATTCTTCATTGTGAAAGCAATATTACGTTCCTATCCGATTAAAAGTTTCGTTGTAGGTGAAAATTACTGTAGGGTAGACGTCGTAGTAGGGAGATTCGTATTTTGTCTGAAATTATCTTTAGGTAAACTTTAATTATCTCGTATAAAAGTCTTAGATTCACTTGATTAGTTTTAAATATAAGGCCAAAAAACTATTTCCTAAATTTCACTTATATTTTAGAAGGAAAAAAAAATGGAGTTAGAATCTAAAAAGTTTATTTGAACTAAGGAAGTATAACTTTGTGTTTTTTCATTAATTATAATTAATTAATCAATATACAATTAATAAACCCTTGGAGTGATGTATTTAATCGTAGCGTGAGCGAAAATCTACGGTTGATTTAAAAATAATTAAAGGGGTTTTGTTTTGAATTGTTTTAAGTTACAAAAATGAATGGCGAAGTAAACATCAACTAAAGAAATAATAGTTACAATAGTTCTTCACAGCAGCGCTATCTGTTGACGTATTTTGTGCAGTCAGCATCAAACACTGTCTTTAGCACGCGGAATCACTCTGTAGGCCAAGACTAAACCCACAACACAAACTGGGCGGCTACTGCAACTTGAATCCAGCTAGTTAATTATTAAATAATAACTTTATTTTATTTACTACAATTATGTATCCTATTAATTGATCTTATGAAAAAGCGTATTTGTGTAGGTCTAAACTAAATGGGTATGCTTCTGATAGTTAGTTTTTTAATTTGATACATTTGAATAGTTTGAAATAAACCCTTTTATATTATTATTTAATACCTAATTGTGATACTAAGAGATTATTTCTAACATCATTATTTTATTACCAATTTTTATCTTTTCTCTGTCAAAACTACTAGGAAGTTCGTACAAAAGATAAGTCCCGCAGTGAACAGATCGTTAAGACACGGTTCCCAGCAGATCACTGAAGTCAAGCATCACTGGCTACGGTCAGTGTGCTGGTGGGTGACCACTTGGATCAGTCTGCGTAGGGACCGAGGGTGTGCGGTATTGGTCCTCGTTAAACTGTGCTACCGTAAAGTGCTCGACTTCGCGCGCAGGTCGTCGGGCTACCGAAGCGGGGGTGCCATCCCCTCCGCAGAGGATCAAAATTGTGATGGCATGTCTTCGGATCATCCTCCGGGATGTTTCCCAGACCGTCGCCAATAGCCCATTGTGCAGCTCTAGTGCGACGTAAATTAACAACAACAACGTACAAAGGATAAAATGATTAAGAATCGGAACCGGGCAAATATTCTAAAGCAGGGTTGCCACAGAAAAAAATGAACAAAATAGTTGCTTTTAGTAGCCTAAAATATGAAAATAGTTGCCTAAATAAGAATAAAAATATGACTAAAATTTTGTTAATGACTTAATTGTCATATACCTTGATCCATTCAGTCAAGTTGGTGGCAAATATGATCATTTTTATATAAACGTAAATGTTTATATATATATATTTTTACATATATGAAAAGTGATTACTCAAATTCGAAATTCACTCATCGTAATATCGTATAAATTTTTTTTTTTCTTTTATAAATCATGCGAAATTTCGTAGAAATAATCATTAAAAATGCGATCAAAAAATGAAATAGACTTACAATGGAGTCTGTGCAGATTGAACGATTTAAAAAGTGAAGACTCAAATTTGCTAAGTTTTTTATCTTTTAAGAAAAAAAAAAGTTCAGAAACTATCTTGTGGGGTGTAGATTTTCCACCCAATTTATGCTTATAAAAAAAAACATCGCTAGGAGTACAGAAAAGTCTCCCTTTCCTGAAAATAGTTGCTTTTTTTATAGCTTTTTCAGGCAAAAAAAGTTGCCATAGTCGCCTTATGCCAAAAATAGTTGCATTTTAGTCGCCTGTGGCAACCCTGCTAATGAGAGTTCAGTTGGAATGAATTTTATTTATTTATTATTACCTTTTTAATTGCATTCAAGGAAATTCTGAAAAGTATAACTATACAGTATGACAGAACATTAATATAAAAGTAAAGTATTGTTTAAACTGTTATTTCAATTTTATAGGTAAAGAATTTTGTTATCATTTCTGTAAACTGTCATGTTTGTTAATGGTTTAGCTACTGTACGTATGATTTGAGTATTCTTTTATCCACTATATGCTTATGTGATTGTTGTTTCAATAATAAAATTCACTTTGTCACCTGGTGGTGAGGAATTTGTTAACTAATGATTCTCTGTGATTAATTCACTCACCTTTATTGAGTTATTTTACAAAGGTAAATGTTCCTATAGAATATTAATGTTCTTTAATAAACTGACATTTGCACTTTGAGTAATTATTTATATCCTTAAGCACCCACAAGACTGAGAGACAAAATGTGTCCACAACATACTATGAGTCACAAACTATTTGAACAACCAACTAAGGAAATAAAACTGTACAGTTTGCTTCTTTCTCAGGGATTATTCAATCCAGTTTACATATAATGTATAAAGTTGACAACAGATGCCACTGCTGAATTAAAAAAAAACTAATAAAATGCGTTTTTTGCTGCATGACAAGTCATTCCCACTGAAATATTTGAACGGGAACTGTATTTGACTCCTAATGCCAAAAAAGCAGCAATAAATTTGTAACTTGTGATAAATTATTTCGATTATTATATGCGATAGTTGCAAAATTTTTTGTAAACCTAGTTTAAATATCTATGAATATATGGAAATTTTTATAGAAACCTACTTTTTTTTGTCTTACAATTTTTTGCTATAACTTTAAAAATATTCAATAAAATTAGACCAAATTTTTGGAGCAATTAAAAAATTAATTACAAAATTATTGCTTTAAAAATTTCGAGAATTTTTTTATCCCTTAATTTTGTAGTGAATTGTATTTGGCAGCTACTAAAAATTTCCTGATTTGAATATCTTAAAAATTTAAAAAGTTTCAATTTCCCAAGTACTTTTTAAAATGTTTTCAAGAAATTTTTTTTGCACCATTAAATAAGATACATTAAAAATGACACTGGCATTGTCTTCGAATTATCCCCCATAAAAGTATTGTATCTTTTCTTAGCACGTTTTCTTTCCTTACACAAACAGGTACTATTATTGTAAGGTACTATTATTTGTAATTTAATTTTGGCTTACACAGGATGACATTTGAAGAAAACTGAGCACTTTTTTAAAAAGGACAATAACTATTTACAAAATTGTTTTTAACTTTAATATATTTAAATTGGCCTTTTTTTCTCATAAGTTTCAAAATATGATTCACTACAGAATTATAAAGAAAAAAAAAAAAGTTAAATTTTTTCCGCATATGCGCAGTATAGAAGAACTTCTTTAATTATGTACTTATAAACTGCACAGCTTATATTGGAATTTTTTTTCAAATTTAAAAGCAAAATTTTTAAAGTAACAGAAGAAAAACTAAAAAAAAAAAAATTATTATAAAATTATCCATATCTCCATAAATATTTAATCTAAGCTTTCGAAATTTTTTGCAATCAGCACACTTAATAACCAATATTGTGACAAAGCAAATTTATCAATGCATTTTTTGACTAGTGTGTTCAAAAAAATTATTTTAGTTTATTGTCGGCCCCTGAAGCCTCTAAACTTCATAGTATGACAAATCATAAAATCAAAACAGTACTGAAGTTATAAAATGACTTAAATTTTTCTTGAGAAATATGAAAAAATGCATTAGTATCAAAGTGTTTCCATTATTTTGTCCACCCCCTGTATTCATCCAAATAAGCATACATTTAGTGAGGAAGCTGCAAAATAATATTAAGTGAAGAAATAAAATTTGTTAACATTATTCAAGATATTGGTATGTTAAGATGAAGAGATGGCGAATTAAAAAAGGGTTTAGTTTATGAACACTCCGACATAAGTCTTAATTTATGAATTAAACTAAGTTTTAAATATTTTTTTTTACTCCATAACATTATTAAATAATGAAGTGAATATAGCTTACACTAAAAAAGCAAGATTAAGAACTCATTCTTTATGCCAATAGCTCCAACATAAATTTTCTAGTCAATATCTTAAGCAAATCGAATCACATAAAATTTAGAAATACCAGAATAAATTATAAATTTTTCAAATAAAATTACAACATTTGTTCCCTAAATTGTCAATTTATATTTTACTTATATCTTCCAGAGTCACTAACAAGTGAATGAAAAGATATTGAACTGACTATACTCATTACAATATTTTATACAAAAATAGCAATTAAAATGTTTATTAAAAATTAGTAGGTTCCTAGTTGTAAATATCAATAAATAGTCATTCCTTAATTTCTTTTATGTCTTTCTTGCTTATTTCAGATATCATAATTTTTGTTGAACCCAAAGACTTAGGCTTTATTTTATGCACAAGATTATAATAATTCATTTTGATGGAAGAATGACAGTTAAAATGGAATTTAATTAAAACTTGCAGAACTTTTTAAAAGACTCTTTTTGAAAAAGATCAATGAGTAGTCAATTTCTAACACTATGTTTTACCTGCCTTTTTCACATTCCCCATAACAATTACAGAATCAAAAGATATATAAGCACTACTTATTACACATATTTTATACAAAAATTAAAATAAAATATATAAATAAAAGATGTTTTTAGAAAAATGCACGAAGCTGTAAGACAAAACTTTTCGCCCACAAGAAGAACAATTTTTATTGTTGTTCGGTGTACATAGATATTCAAAATTTTATCTGTGATTAATCAACCTGTTTTATTACTATCAAAGAGTTTATAATGGAAAATATATGGAAGCAGGTGTAAAATGACTAATTGAAATAGATGGATTTTTGTCAATCATGGCAGGAAAAAAAATGAATTGAAGATGTCTGATTAAAGCAGGTGATGATATTCGGGAAACTTATATTTCATTGCAGACCTCGAGGTGCTAAACAAAAAGAATATTGTTATCTAAGTGACATTGCAAGCAAACTCATAAATTTCATGATTAAGAACAGGCCAATCAAAAGCAAAGTAAAAAGTAGTATTTAATCAATGCTGTTGAAATACAGGAGAAATCCATTATAAATAGGCGTATTATCGAAAAATCAAACACTGCCAAAAGGTCGTAGGAATCCAGAAAAGGAACAAAACCAGTTGTATAGTGCTTTGTTTTTTAAATAAGATTATTGCAAGATCAAAGGTTGAAGTTTGCTGGAAAAAATTCCACTCGTAAATTTTATAACTTAAGTTCCTACACTTCCTTTAACTACCCTTCCTGTGCTTTGCCCATCCAACCACTCTTCTAATTTTAACTCAAGGCGGAAATCACCTTTCACAGTCAAACAATAATGCAGAAAGAATGTCGGAAAAGCTATAAACAGCTAACAAACAAGTCTCATTAAAAAAAAAAAGTTAATGGAAGTTTTGTATAGAAAAAAAAGGTTCTGATGTTAGAAAAACATATAAAGCATGCTTTCCCTAAAAAGGGTAAAGCAAAATCTGGGATAATGTAACATTATCAGAATGGGAGATTTTCACAGATCAGCAGAAAATGACGTAGGAAGCGATATAATGTATGAAACAGACAGGTTAAAATAGGGGTTTCACGGTAATTATTTTAGAATTTCAAAACTCAGACTCATGAATGAAATAAAGCAACTTTATAAGTCCTAAATTACAATTCAACTGTTTGATGTATATTTCGCTGAGTAAAAAAGTTATGACTTTTGGGTTTCACAGGTTTTTTCGTGTCACTTTTCATAAATTTAAAAATATTTTGAGATTTGGTGGTTTCTTGCTGGTCATCATCATCTTCTGTTTCTTCCCTAAAAACCATAAATAATTATTAGAAGTATAATTCATTTACATCTTTTATACATTATTTGGACATAAATTTACCAACTAGAATAATTAAACTTAATTGACGAAATCATAAATTTTCAGTCAATGTTAATGAGTAATATTTAAGCTTAGAATGCATTATAAATTGGGTAAAAAACAATGATTTATATATATTTATGAAATTAATGCACTAAAAAATAATTAGAAAATATAAAACCAATAATGATATTTTTCCTTTGGATAAAATGAATAAATTTTCATAAATTTATTTCCCCACATTTCTTTTTACAAAAATGGGAGCTGCTGAGTATAGAAGACAACCATGTCCACAATAACCAAAGGAAGGAATTCGGAGTAAAACTGATCTGTATGGTATACACATCTCTGCAACCGTTTCTTGAATTCAATCCATAAAAACATCTCACTGTTAGTTCAACTGTGATAGATTTCATGTCTGTCTAGCACATTATGAAATAGGAATACTTAATGTCAGAAATGCAATTAACTTAGGTAAATTACAAGCCCACCATCCATTGCCCTTTAGAACTCTGAATACTGTCAAAACTATATTACTTCATATTTATAATTATATTTTTCAATAATTTAAAGTCCAGTCCAAAATACTCTGTTTAATACTTTTTTATTGAAAGAGGTCTTATTAAAAAACTTTTCATAAAGAATTCTTTTAAATGAGAAATTTTTGTTTAAATGTCACATGGTAAAATATAACATGATATTAAATCCAAAACACCGGTTGATAAATTTTTTCGTCAAGTTGAGCCTCTTAGTGAGCCAAGAAAAAAATTAGAGACAGTACACATATATCAGACTACTTTGAGAGAAAAAAAAAAAAGCAAGAGAAACCAACGGGGAAAATAAAAATGTGGGCAATTCCCTTTAGTTAAGTATAACAAATGCAAATTAAAGAGTAATAAAATACAGCTAAATGCTTGAACCATATATATTATTAGTGGACGATCTCTGGGTTTGAGCAATTGTAGGATTGAAAATCAGATCCTTAATTTAAAATTGATTATGATTCTAAATTTGTATTTGTAAAATGGGATGTTCTAAACATGCACAAATATCAAATATATTAGGGCAAAATATTTTTTTAAAGAAAATCAGGATAACTAAGAGTATTACCAAGTTTAACAATTGATATGTTGTTATATTAATAATATAAAGAAGGTAACTTTTTAATTACCATTCGACTTGTACTGCACTGTTTTCTAAAATTTTCCCAGCAGTTGACCAGCTGAATCTAACGATTTGAGGAAAACCAAATACAGGATCAATACTCTGAGTGAGAAACTTTTTTGTCACAGGATCTAAAAAAATACATGTTTCATTAAATATTTCTTACATACACTTTTGTTTACCTCATTTTTATAAACAAAAAAATTAATGCACAAATTTTGGTAAAGTAAATATTCTTATTGAAGGGGAAAGAGCTAATTTGAATTAAAATATTTACTTTAATTTCGAATGAACATAAACTTTGAAATTTAAATTTTATAGCTTTATTTTGAATAATCATCTCAAATTATGCATTTTTAATCTTCAAAATGAATGTTTAGCCTAATCTCAATTTGATTGTTTTACCCTTAATGCTTTGCGTTTTAAAATCTTCTTGTGTTAATTCAAAATGAAAACTAATTATGAAATTAAAACTAACAAAGAAAAAGAAAATTTCGGAGTATCTTTACTACAACGTTTACAGTTTCAAAGGGAAAAAAACAACAAAAAAACAAAACATTTAAGTTAATCAACGAAATTTTTTATTTCCACACTAAAAAGTTTAGTGGGAAAACATGCAAAAACGACATTTCTGTGATTTTAAAATGTATTGAGTGCATGCTCCAAATATATAAAAATAGAATATTTTTAAAATGTCACTTATCTTGTTATTTTTAAGTGACACACAAGGTTGGACTGTAATGTATTTCTGTTATTAACATGGAAAAAAAAAACAATAAAACCTTCTGGATTATAAAATTCTTTTTAACATCCGGTATTATATTAGTAAACATGGGAAAATCAGTTTCAGAATACATGATATTACAAACAAATTGTTAAGTATTTCTTTTAGCTGATTCAAAATTGATATAGTATTTATCTATCGTAATTTAAATGATCTTATTTATACAACTGCCAACTTATTTAAAGACTTGGCAGAACAAATTGTTTTATTAATACAACCAATCACTATATATTCAAAAATCCTAAGCATGCAGTAATTCAATTACTTAAAACTTTCATGAAGGCTTTTTAACACCTAGTATTATATTAGTAAACATGAACAAATCAGCTTCAGAATATATGATATTACAAACAAATTGCAAAGTATCTCTTTTTTTCTGAAATCTTTCTTATCCTGACAGGATAAGTTAAAGCTTTATTAATAGAACCAATTACTCCAGATTCTAAAATCCTAAACATAAGGAAATTCAATTACCACTTGTAACTCATATGAAGTATTCTTAGTTCCGTTTTAGTAAGGAAAAAAAATGTTTAAAATGAAAATAAGATTTTTCTGATTTAACAAATTTTATGCGAATAATTTCTTTCTTACATATCACTTTTACAAATCAATTTCAATTCTAACTCTGTTATTACTTTTGCATATTTTTAATATGCTAATAAAACTGAACACTCTGGCAACAACAGTTCATATAGCAATATTTACATAAGTTGCTAGTTGATTGTTACATTAATAGACATAATTACCATTTGGATAACCTGATCCATATTCCATTTCATTTAAATTATCACCTTCTGCAAACTTCCATGCTTTTAATGCATTGTCTCTTGCAACCTAACCAAAATATAAGAGTTTATAAATGAGACAGAAATAATTATTTTCTGTTTAAGATAAGTTACTATATCTGAAGATGTTATAAAAATTTCTCACAACTAACTGCAGTTGATATATTTAAGCAAAGGAAATAAACTGAAAAAGTTCTTAAAAAAAAAAAAAAACTAGTTTGTTTTGTTTTGCTAAAGCTGGTTTCTTACTTGCAACATACATTCTTACGCTGAAATTTCAAACTTGGATAAAATGTTAATCCGTTAATAATAAAAAATTAATAAATGAATAAAGAAGGAAAATAAATAAACTATAGAAAACTAGCTATTCAAGTTGAATGATAAATTTCTTAAATATATAGGGTGTCTAATTAGTTCACATATAACACAAAAATTTCTGACGCAGAGTTTAAAATATAATGATTTTATTTACAGCAAAAGAAAACTACATTGTGTTAAAAGTTACTATAACAGGTGGTTGATATGATTGCACTTTTTCAGGTTTTTTTTACAAGCTTTAGCCTTTTTCCAAAACCAGTGCAAACATGCACACATCCATAAAAATTTCTTTTCATTCTCACACAACAACACAAATATCCCTAAACGCAGTTTTGAGATAGCGCAAAAGATTTTTTTTTGCCAAATTTCTTTATTGACCTAAGCAAAAAATTTAACTCCCTTATTAATGGAAACCAACAAATGTTTCCCTTCTTCTGAAAAAGCTCTCAAGAAAGAAGAAGAATCAAGATTACATTTTTTTTTAAAAATCAGGACAGATTTTGTAATAGTATCGTTCATATTTTTTTTCTTTGAAAATAAGTACAGTAGAATCATTGCAGAGGTAGGGATAAGTATATATCACCTTAGAAAAATTATTCACAAATCATCATTTATTTATCTCCAAAAATAAAATGACTCTGACAGCCATGGAATAAACCTCCATTTAAATGAACTATAAGACAAGTGAATGTTCAGGTTAACGAATATTAAAAAGGGNGTTTCCTCCATGACACTGTACCATTATCATCATCCTTCTTGTTATTAAATATATTTTATGTTAAAAGGCGTTTGTTATGATTGAAAACCCCCAGATCAGAGATCATATCACCGTATTTAATATATATCACCTCAGAAAAATTATTCACAAATCATCATTTATTTATCTCCAAAAATAAAATGACTCTGACAGCCATGGAATAAACCTCCATTTAAATGAACTATAAGACAAGTGAATGTTCAGGTTAACGAATATTAAAAAGGGATAAAATATCTACAACATTTCTTGATATTGGAAATATTTTTACATGAAATTTGAGAGAAAAAAAAAGGGTTGATTTACACGAAATTCCAGATAAAGATACAAGATTCAAAATTAGATTTAATTGGAATTTCAAATAATAGATACCAGATTCAGATTGAAGTGAAATTTCAGGTATTTTGGATTAAGAGAGTTCTACAATTTGTTATCTATCAATAAAATTAGTAAAAATTATTTTTTTTGACACATTTATTCAAATAAAAATTAAACTTCACTTAAAAGTGTTTGACAGAAACATATACACTTTGAAAAATAGGATTAGTAATAAAACTCAAATAATCACCTACTTTAGCACATATACTAGCTGCACTAACAATTGGATAGATTGAATCAGCTTTTTTTGCAACAGTAACTTTAATGCCAGGAAACAAATTAGAGAGTTTAGCTTCATATTTGTCTGGTGGCCCCACAGTGTCCACATATATCTTTAAAAAGGGAGAGAAAAAAAACTTTAATTAATAAATTACTTTATATATACATTAAATTATACCGAAATATTTATAACACGTGAATAAAATCAGTTTTTTGAAAATTATATTGGCAAAAGTTGTAACAAAATAATAGTTAGTATAAATAATAAATAATTGTAATAAATTTGAAATTAAATTCAATTGAATTTTTGAAACTTGATAATTAAATTGTTAAAAATATTAGCAGTGGTAACTCATAATATTTGCAGTTTTACTTCTATTTACAGAAAAATACATATTTTAAATAATACTCTATAATTACAGAGATTCCACCATACTTAGGAAGCTACAGGTCCATAGGAAACAGGGCTTAATTTAAATATTCTAAATTATCTTCAAAAATAACATAATTCTACAAAAGTAAAATAATCTTTCACTTTAAATGTTAAATGGTAAAAAGAATAGGAAAGTAAAAGAAAGAGAATTTTCAAAAGAAAAGAAAAAAAAATCTGTGAAACTGCAAAGTTGACCACACTATAAATTCTCTACCTTTTTATCTATTAATATGCATATTTAAAATGATTCTATCTACTGATAGACAAGATAAAGAATTCAAATGAGTTATATTTGAAGGAAAGATTTTTAATTAGAATTGATTCAACAATAAAAAAACAGCAATGTAATTTGACATCTAGAATCATTTTCTTTTTCTTCTGCTATTATATATTGCTATTGCATTTAATGGACTAAAACTATTTTTTTTTTCAAATCAATTTACACATTTAAATTTAAAAAAAAATTTAATAAATCCTTTTTTTTTACTCTCGTAAGTATAATATATTTCAGTTCTCAAAAACATTAGGCATAGTAGCATTTAATATAAATTTTATTTACTTATTATATTTCTTGTAATAAATAATGTATGTAAATCTTTGTTAAGAGTTCAAAAGTTAAACATTAAATTTTAATTTCAAGAAAAAATTAGTAATTCTCCTTCCCCCTAAACAGATTTTTTTATATGGGAAGAACCGCAACAACCTACTAAACTTAACATGCAAACTTAATATGCAAAAGCTAGCATGCATATATTTTTTACTCATTTGAAAGTCTTATTAATATTAAGCTCTATATATTTTAATCAATTACTAATAACTATGTTAATACTCAAAAATTTACAGCCAATTTAAATTAGCATATCAAACATTACTATTCAGATANTTTCCCAAATAAAAAAAATCTTTCTGCAAGAACTCAGTCGCTTTCTGCGACAATGTCGCTGTGTCGCCGTGTTTCTGCCACGGGGATCACACCACAACTAAATATCGATCCAAGAGGGATTGCATATTATTCATTTGCAAGAAAAGTTTTCTATGATAAATTTACTAAAATAAATTAAGTAAAATCTGAAAAAAAAATTGGTTTTTACAAATATATTTCTGGAAAAACTTTCATTGCTTAAAGTTAGTTTTGACACCACAAATATTAGGAATTATGAATCAAAATGTGAACTTCAGAATGATTAAGCCATAGTCACTCTCAAATAAAAACTAAAATACAATTATTCCAATAATTTACATATTCAATTGACAGAATTTTTCTTGTCGGTAAATAACTCATTAACTATTCTTTAACGTACAGAAAACTTAATTACACCATAAATATATATACATTTTTGTAAAACCCAAAAGAAAAACATAATAATTAAATTTTCAATAAGATTCATTATATCTAGATATTTATGAATTTTTTTTCAGGTAAATACCTAGGGTATTTACCAAAAGTTATAAAAACTTGGGTATTTAACATTTATACTTGCAACTATTTAAAATAAATTACTTATATTAAGAAAAATTTTATCCATAGATCAAACAAAGAAAATGTTGATTTATAAGTTTATTAATATAATCATGTTATGCAGGTAATTATAAGGTAATTTTTTTAAAGAGTTAGTCACCAACCTCTGTAACATTTACTCCTAAACTTAAGGCTTTTCTAATCAATGCTATAGCTGAATCATGAGACAAGGCATTGAGATTATATTTTGACCTGAAACATTAATGAACGATTTAGATTTTTAAAAAAATTAAAATAACTGCTTAAAATTACTTTTATTGAAAGTATTCAACTTAAGCTTTGAAAAGATTTTTTTTCTTCATCTAAATTCATATATCTTTTAGAAATTTTTCAAGAATAAAGGCTCCCATATTCCTACTTTATTAAAATTTCAATTGAATTATCAGGGGTGATTGTGAGCCTAACTCAAACATCCTGAAAATTTCCCGAGTAAAATCATTAATGGCGCTATTCAAAAAAATAAATGTCTTCATAAATTTAAATCATTGACATTTTAAAAACATGAAATTCAAATTAAATTATATGCAGCATAATTTAAACGAATAATTATGTATTAGTTTACTTTTATGTCGAATCACATTTATTATTCTAAGAGAAAAAATATTTACAAATGAAAGATTACAAATATTTAAAAATGAAAGTATAAATTCTAGTTCTAATATTTCTAAATAAAATATACAAGAATTTTTAGACGTAAAAGTGATCAATGATTCTTCTTCTTCTAGACCTTGGATTTCCAGAAACTTCCGGATCACGATTAGCGATCAATCCGGAAATCTGGATTTTTTCCGGAGCACAATCATCTCTGCATTATTGAATTTTTTTCCAAGAAGAAAGTTCAAGAATAAGAAAAATTCAGAATATCACAAATCCAGTAACATAAATAAGAAGTCTTTAATATTTTGTGCAATTTGATAAAATGCTGCGAATGTAGGATTTTAGTTATATTTCATATTGATTAAATCAAAAAGGGATATAAAAATTACCAAGTGATGAAGCTCTGTCTATGAATGTCCTAAACTAGAGTTCTGATTAGTAATTGAACCCCCAGTTCAAGCATTGCGCTAACGGACTACAAATAAAACGGTGTACTAAGGCAATTGACTTTTCAGAGACACGAACTTAATAGGTTGGTGTCATAACCACAAAAACATAGAAGGAAAGGAAAACAAAACTTACTTTTGAAGAATAAAAAGAATTTTTCGCTAGAAATATCTATTCTTTCGCATAAAAATTTTGTATTTTAAAACTTAGGGTGCGTAGTAAAATTTTCCAACAAAAAATAAGTACAAAAAAAAAACATCATAATTAGGATATGCTCACTAACAAATACAATACTTTAAATAATCAAGATAAAACCATTTCATGAACAACTTTAAATATATTCACTATAGAGTTGCTCATTCTAAATTTATAAACACATTAACTAATTATGACGTAATCGATAAATGAAAATTATTTCTACTCAACAAAAATATTTACAAAATCAATATTATTGACCACACTGAAATGATAAATGAAGCAAACTAAGAAAAACTTGTTAATTCTTATCACAAATATATTAGCAAAATTTTTTCCCCAATGAATTAAAAATAAAAATGCAAATAGCAATGAAGCTAAACGTTTTTGGCGGAAGTAAATTGTTAAATGGTTTCTTTATGCACATTTAAAGAATATGACACTAAAATTTTTTTAATCTCAATTTTTATAAAAATCGAATGATGGTGCTGCAGCTTTCCATCATTGTTGCTGCATTTTTATTGGCCGGAAAAATTACACCCAGTTTTCGCACATTAATTTTCTATATATTTTTGATTGACATTAACATAAAATAAATAAAAGTCATAAAGTTATTGCTTTCCTGTACAATATATTTGTATCCTAAATTTAAAGGTACTTAGCTTTAAAACTTATTTTTCTCATTTTACCCTGCTATTAATATATTTTTGATTTTGATTGTTTTCGAAATTAAAACTTGAAAACTAAAAGAGTTGTTTCTTTGTAAAAATGTAATTCTATAATCTATCTCTACTTAAGCTACATTTTAAGATAAGCTTATTTGAATCAATGTCTAACCATTATTAACTATTTTAAAATTATTATTTCTTGGTATAAATTACATTAATATATAAAAAAATGTATAGTTAATAAGATTTGTTAATTGATTTAGACCTTAATGATCAACTTTAATCACAATACTATGCACAATTTGCATTTAATATATTTCAAACTGTTTGGTAAACTATAATATTTAATAATAGTTGGGGTCTCACAAAATTTGTTAATACCATATACCTTCGATTTTAAATGTTATTTTCTTTCTTTCTAAAAAATTATTACTAAGTAAAATTATTTATGTTAACTAATAAATCTAAATAGAATTATATGAGATCTTTCCAACTTTTTATCAATCAAATTTGAATTAAAATAAACACTGAATCATATAAGATTCTGATAAATAATAAATCTGAATCATATAAGATTTTTCAAATGTTAAACTAGATAAAAACTTCTCAGTTCATACTTTTTTTTAAAACTTGTGCCTAAAAATTGCTGACTTTTTTCATAAAAAACTCAAGATGACGGAAAATTTATATAAAAAATCCAAGAAAATAAAAGTACATTATGAAGTTTAAAATATTTTGTAGAATTAGTGGATGGCCCCTCAGACTCAAAATCTAGCTTTAAAATAATCTCAATTAATACATGCTTATCTCCATCGAGTCAAATGAGAAAAAGAAAGACACATATTTGGAAGTTATAATTTTCTGTGATTGTTGATGACTCTGGACCCCCATGAAAATAGTTATTTAGTGTATAATAGAAATAGTTATTTAGTTGTAGCACTCATCTATAAATTGAGAAGCACAGGAATGTCATATGCATATTTGTGCTAAAGATGATGGCACTGCACCACTAAAGAAATGAAATATTACTGAAATTACTGGTTTAAATATTTACCTCTTTAACATGTTGTTACTAATAACGGTGGGTGAAAGGATTTCCAAAAGCCATCCCATCATATCTTTTGAATCAGATATTATTTCAAATAAGTTTTCTCGCTTCTCTTCCGTCAGAGTTTTTGAATCTGCAAATATTAAAAATAAAATAAAGTAAAAAAAGCATCATAAAAATATAATTTAAATGTTTCATATGAACTGGCTATGCATTTTACTATTTGGACTAATATCAGAAGTCAAAAACGTTTTTTTTTTAATACGTCCGAGGTTCCATTGTGTGTGTATAAACACACACACACATATATATACAATGTGAACATATGTCAGTAATTAGCAAAAGATACTTTTGTAAAAGAAGAACTAAAGACCATTTTAACTGTAATGCATTCATTTAGCTGTCGCAACTGTGAGAAAACAAGTGATCAAAATGAATTTCAACAGCCAAGCACAGGTTATTATCACACTGCCTGCATTTAGACTAAAAGTAAAATACACTATTAACAACTTATTGAGTCTGCCAGACGTGAAACTTTTTTATAATTTTTTTATTAAAGTTAGAGAAACGAATCTTTAAAATCTTTTCACTTTGAAGTAACAAGGGTACTTTATAAAAGTCTCAATATTGAACAATTATTTATTTGCAATTCGGTGTAAAAGCTTTAATATTTTCAAGATAAAATATGATGTGCTCTATGTAGGTGGATCACTACAGTATGAGTACACTATATAAGTAAGGTGCACAGTTGCTTATTGTTGACATAATTATATAATGTATCCAATCGAGTCTGGCAAGTTTTAAGAATGGGCACCTATTTTTGAGCACTTGAAACATGTCGACTTTTAATTCGATTGGTATTTTTTGAAGCCAAGGATTACTGTTTTATATTTTAATCAAGTAATTTTTTAACGATTCCAAATCTAAGGATAATTTAAATACTGTATCATTGTTCATTTAAATACAGTTAATTGGATTTTAAAAAAAATCTTTTTTTAAGGACATATCAAATCAACAAGAATAAACTAGTATCCACCTGCTACTCCTTTAGCTTTTAAAGCATCCACTTGAGAGACAGGACAGTAAGCAGCTCCATATACCATTGGACCTAGAAATAAATTTTGCGTTAAATATTGGTTTGCGTTACACTTCAAATATAAATTACATATTGTGTTTTAAAATATTTCTAATATGTAAAGATATGATCTTGTTTGAATTTTAAAAATATTAGTTTAGGTCTAGCTCTTTATTAAAGGAAAATGTTACGAATGCTTAAGAAAACAATTTCAAAAATAAAGAAATCAAATTAAAAAATTAATTAATCACTAATTATATAAACAAATAAATAATACAAAAGGTCACGTGTTAAACTATTGAAAAAAATAATAATTACACAAGATTCTTTTTATGCATTTTCCTACTCAATTAAAATATAAATTGTGTACACTATATCTTTAAGTGCATCATCATATAAAAAAGAAAAATAATAATTTCAAATTTAATAAACACCACCAATCATTTTTTAACTATGTTCATCATAAATTTTTCAGAATTTGTGAAAATGAGATTAATATGAATCATAGTTAATGTACTTAACCATACACTCAATCTTTATAAATATATTTTTTAAATATAATTTCAAATCAATTTCTTATTTTTAATCTTACGTTGTATAGAATTTAAGGAACTTGACAGTTTATATTTCTTCTTTATTGGTATGATTATACTCAATAATACATTTATTTAACATAAATTGCAATGTAGTTAATTAAAGCAAGCATTTCAATTTTATTGCAGTGGTAAATTTCATGGTTTTGTTTAATTACATGTCCTAATTGCAATATGTACTACAGATATATGTCTTTAAATATCACAAATTGAATAAGTATTTTGTAATTTTCATGATTCATTATTTTATCGCAATTCCTGATTTTGATACTTTAAGAATATGGTTACTCTTGATACAAATGTTTTTCTTATAAACATATTTGTGTTGCAAATGGGCATTAATCCTGATGGAGTTTAAAAAACAAATTAAATCTGCTAATTTAATGCTTTGTTGTTATCTAGGTTATCCCTCACACTATGTTCTGAGGATTTCAAAAAGAATAATCTCCCCCCTTATAAATAACTTTTAAACCCTCACTCTCAACTCCTATTTTTCAAGTCAAGGACACTGACTCTTATCTATTGAAATTTGAGGATAAGGTCAAGGGATGAAGGAGAAAGTGCTGCAGGGGGTGGAAAGGATTAAATTACAAAATGATTTTGTCAAGATAAGGAGGCCACCTGCAACCTCAAAGAATGACCATTAGTTTCCTGTTTGTTGCCTTCAATAAAAAAAAAAAAAACAGTGCCAGGAAAGTTTTTACCCCACTTTCTCAAAAAGGAAGAGATATTTCTCTTCTTTTATTTTCTCCAGCTAACACATTAGCTTTTGAAAAATAGACGTATCACACATTAAACTCTTATCACATAATTGAATTGAAGGAACATTTCATAATTATTTTATTTGCTTTTGCCAAGCACCATACAATGCTTGTTTAAACACTAATTTGAGTTTTTAATGTACAGTACTTGTAATTTCACTAATTACGATCATTGTTGTTCCTTATCCTCAAATTGTCTGACGAAGTCAGACAAGATCCAATAGGTTGTTGACCCTCAAAAAGCCGATGACAAGAAGTGGAGTAGCGTATAAGTCCTCCTTGGAAAGGCCCAAGCAGTCAAGGATATGTTCTGCAGAGGTCTGCTGGGCTTCACATTTGGAGCAGACTGCATAAGTTTTTCTTCCTTCTAAGTACGAGAGACTATTCGTGTGTCCACTTGCCAATCTGGTAATTGCTGTTTGAGATGCTCTATCACCTATATGAACAAGTGAAGAGCCCAGTTCCTTGGCCAGATTACGATAATTTATTATCAGTAGCCAGATACCAGATTACGATAATTTATTATCAGTAAATAGAATGTTTCTTAGTAATCTATAAGTTACACTAACTATACATAGAAGTGTAATTATTATGTTTAATGTTTTTTTTTATATATATCATTTGTAAAACCTTATATTCATGAATATTAGAATAACTTTTTAATTATTTTATATACTTTTGATACTCAGTTATGTGTCAGCACTCAGTATCAGTTATATTGAGTAATGTTATATTGCTAATTAATGAACAATTTCTTCTTCAATGTTTTTATCACAATGTCTGATTAATTTTTATTTGAGTGCATGGTTAACATATATTGTTGGTTCACATATTTTATGGTCAATGAATTTAATGTATGATCATCTCAAACATAGTGCGTTCTTTGCAACATTTTCAATCAAAATTATGTTGGATTTACTAATTGTTCAATTATTTATTTATTGCTAAAAGCAATCGAATTTTACTTTTGATTCAAATTTTATGTTCTAATTTCTTCCTCTGTGTCATTTTAATTGACAGTTATAAGTAATTGTATGTTGTTTGGCCTTATTTGTTTTTTTCTTTTTCCCTCACTTTAGTTGCGACATTATATATTTGAGATTCATATATTGCAATTTTTTTAAAACTTTTACTGATGTTTCCAATTTGTTGTCCCTAACAATATTTGCTCACCATATAATCACTTGTTATTAGTTTTGATTTACAATGTTTATTTTTTGTGTTTTTAAGAACTGTTATTACTGTTTATGTATTTTTTCTTTCCAGTGTGGGGAAGATGCAATTTGCGATATTTGAATATATCAGAGTTTTTGCCTGTAACAATTGTCGTCTGCAATTCAGAGCTGTGTACAGAAATGGGTGACTCTTTTTCCAATTTTATATCCTTTTCTACTTTTACTTTTTAATGCTAAATTTCGAATTTTTTTTATGGCATCTATATTAAACTTTAAAACAAGTTTATTTAAATTTTTTTTTGGTTACTTGAACTTCAGTAAAATTTTTGTCTTCAAACTTTTCGGAACATTTAGTATTGAGGAAAATTCTCATATTTTGATATTTACTTAATACCCCGTGGCAGAAACACGGCGACATTGTCGCAGAAAGAGACTGAGTTCTTGCAGAAAGATTTTTTTTATTTGGGAAATAAAATTTTTTGGTTTGCTACAAACAAAAGTTCTCAAAATAAATTCTGCAGAAACAGAATGTGTTTTATCAACAAAAAAAAAAAACATTTTCTTCAGAAACAAAAAATTTCTGCAGAAGCAATAATGGTTCTGCAAAATTTTTTTCTTACAGAATTGTTTTAAATATTTTTTTTTCTAGCGTACCGCGGAAGGAGAAAGCGCTCGTAATTCTCCGTTAATCTCCAACACAAACAGTTACTGGATAAAAAGGGGAGAATTTTTTTCCCCTTTATTAAGCTATTTTTGGAAATTTGCCAACTTCAGCCTCTATCGCTGGCGCAGTAATTTGCTTTGTGTTTTTTTATGAGAACAGAGCATTTTATATTTTTTGCACTTATGTGGAAAATTTCATGCGTAAAAAGATTCTTTTTTTTAAAAAATCATGTCTAGCGAAAAGGTTATTTGTTGCAATTGTGAAGCCACAATAATTAAAACAAATTTGAAAACTGATTTATCAAGGCGGCATTCCGAAAAAGAAATAAGATGGAAGTCGACAACATCTAAAAATGCCTATATGCTTTGAATTAAATCGTCGATAAAAAAAAAAACGCAATCTAACGATAAATGAAATAAAGCCTGAAAGATATCTCACTATCTACGATTTTTTAGCATGCGAATGAAAACCAGATTGGTGAAAAATATTTACTGGTCACTTTCAAACAGGTTTCCATACGCATGCGAAAAAAATCGCATCCAATGAATATGGCTCTAATACCGATGTTTCAGTACTGATAAAGACTATTTCGTTTCGAGATGTTGAATAGACTTGAGCATATTGAGTCGGAAACTGCTTCTGCATACTTCGTGTGGAATCAGTGCTATATATTTACACAATACAGTGCGAAATCACAAGCGCTGTGTATTTTTTTCGTTCTGAACTTAATCTGATCACGAAAAAAGTTTTATTTACCTCCTTTTTTTTAAAAAAAAAATCTTTCAATAAGTCAGTACAATATTAATCGAATCTAATTAATTAGGTAAAATTAATTAGATGTAGAAAAAATTGAAACAAACATTGCTTTAATTTTTTTGCTTTTAGAATTCGGTTATAGTCAATACTATTTTATTATTTTGATTACTCAACTTCAATATTAATTTTTTCACCTGATTTGTTTCTGTACCTGATATAACTACTATAGTGAAACATTAAATCATACTGTTTTAAACTGATACTTCAAATTCAGTTATCTTGTTTTATAAATTTAATCTTATTGTCCATTCTTAGCTATTTCTATAAGTTCTATCTTATTACAGGTTCTGGGTAATCTTTATTTATGCTCTAGTAAGCATTTTTGTCTGCAGATCTATACATTTATAACTTTTCGTTATTATCGAAGATTATGCAAATTTATACTTAAACAATTTAAACTTATTAAGAAATGTAAACTTATATTATGAAATTAAAAAAAAAATCTACACAGTTTTATTCTATGCATGTAGACTTATTTTATAAACACGAATTTCATCTATTATTATAAATTCATTACACATACATTTATAACGATAAAAATATCTTGCAGAAAGATATTGGTTCTAATTAGGTTTGTCGCAGAAAGTCAGAAAAAATTCTGCCACAGGGACTTAATATTTGTTTGAAATAAAATTTTATCGAGATTACAAAAATTTTATATAAAATTTCCGGTCCATACAGGTATTGCCCCAGAAGCAGAAAGTGCCTAAAACGGTGACGTACGTCTCAGAACAAACGTAGTCCTGCAGAACAATTTGTATCTTGAATAAGTGACAGCGTTTTGCTGCGAATCCCCCTTCTCCGCCCACTTGCCTCCAGTAGTCTTGCAGAACAATCCCAATCCAATGCTTGCAGAACATCTGTATAAATTAATAAGTCCTGTTGCAGAACATTCGAAAATATTCTGCTTATGGGGGTATTGCCACATTTACACTTGCATAACGTGACAATTTAATATTACCTAATTCTTTCATTTTCTTAAAACTTCATTCATTTTTTTATGTAGTAGCTTATATTTATTTTAACTTTCTGCTTGATCTTCCTCATGGTCATTGTCCTTCCAGTTGGGAGAGTTACCCTCTATTCCCGCCTTTCTTTTTTTTTTCAGGGGGGCTAACTTAACCAATCTCTTTCCTTTGATTTTTCGAACTCTCCTTCTCTTTTAATTTAATTGGCTATAATTTCTCTCGTCTCACACCAGTTAACAAATTTTTTAAGATACTTGAACACATTCTCTTTTTTCGAGCCTGCTGGCTGGTTACTTTCTTTTTTATCCCAGATGCGGACTTTGGTCGGTATCGAGGGGTTCTTGTTATCATTCTTTTTCTTAACCTTTATTTTAAATTAAATACATAACTGTAATCAATTTCTTTAAATCAAACATCTACATTTTATACCTTTAACACTAAAGACTCACTTAAATTTAAGTTTGCTTTCTATAAATATCTTTTTCAATAGTTAAATTTCTCGCTTCCTCTTATTTTTTTTTTTTATGCATGACGTCAGTTCTCGTCACCAATTCTTAATAAGGCATTTCGTGCAGTATTACAACATGCATATAAAGATATGTCGTACTAATTAAGTTGTGAATTCGCTCATAATAAAACATGTTGATTTTAAACAAGTGTGTGTTTTTTCATTTGGTGATTTTGCTTATTGCTGTTACCTTTGTCCTTCTGTATATGGTAAGTATTTTTTTTCACTGTTAGGGAAATTTGTTAATTTCCTTATTGGAAACATCTTATCGTATTCAATGTTAAAGTTTGTATCTGAATATAGCATGTCATTATCTTTAATTTATTTTAGTTTCACCCTTTTTCCAAATTTGGTGATACCAATTTGTTCAAACCTCACATTTTGTCACCCTTTGGAACTATTGGGATATTGTAATCCTACGATAGCATTGTACTACCACTTTCCTTAACAATCACATTCCCCTTAATTTAATTATCTTTTATACTATTTTTGGCCTTTTTGTATACCAAGAAATTCAATCATTAACTATTTTTAATAATGACTATATCCAAATACATGTACAGTTACATAATTTAAACCCATTTTCGACTTATATAATATTACTTTAATTGCACCATACATATTATTTTAACTGTAACTATAAAAACATGAACAAAATGCCAAATAATCTCACCGAACACAGCTCAGTAGACTCACATGCATTTCATTAAACATGCAAAATGATTGGAGCTTTTATATGCTAAGCAGTAATCACTATCTTTAATACTTTTCAAAATATAAAGAAAGTGAACACCAAGTTTTAGAAACTATATTTAAAAAAAAACTACCCAGCAAAAACTAAACTAACCCAACACTGGACCTCGACCAGCTTCATCTATACCAAGCATACATGGTTCAGCTTTACAAGAGGGAGTGTCTGAAAATAACATAATACTTTGCGAAGGATCTGAATTAAAATCAGTTAAATCCATTTTTTAATAAATAACGAACTAAATGAAAAGCAGACTTAACTAATTTATATAGATTACACTTATTACACAAAAANGCGCCAAACAAAAATGCTAAAAGCGCCATTCTAGTAAACCTGACAATACGATTAAGCGATAACGATGAAAACGACGATGTAATCGACCAATCAAATGCCTCTATTTATTAAACAAAAAACATAAACAAAAAATTAAACATAAACAAAAAAAGCGCGCTGATTTGTAAACGGTTAACCGTTAACAGTTTCTCTGAGGCCTTTTCTCCTGCAAAAAAAAAAATAAAATATGATGAGGTTTCCAGCCAATCAGCAAATTTCAATTCAGCTTTAAATTTGAATGCTGGAACAAATTCTGTGTCAAGAGCAGTTTAGCCTTTTGATTGGTTAAAAAATATTACTGGCGGCAAAAAATGAAAGTTAATTTGTTTGGATCTTGTCGATAATTTCATGTGAAGTTTGTTTGTACTTTATTTATTTCGTGCTGTAAGAATTTTCATTGAGAAATAGTTTTTTAGGATGGTATGTGGTTTCTTTTATTTACAAATGTTTATATATGAATTTGTTTTATTTCTTTAACATATGTAGTTTTTGAAAAAGAGAATATTATTCCATCATCAGTTATACCGCTATACTTTGGCAAGTACCAGTCCTTAGGACCCAGGACTTTAAAATTTCTTGGCCCTTTTTTACCAAAAACTGGTCTCAAATAAAAATATTGAACTTTTTTTTTTCAAGATATGCATAAAAAATAAATATATTATGTTTCGGAAAATATCTTATTTGTAACTAAACAAGTAATAATTTGACAAAGAATTAACCCTAAAATTTCTTTTTCATGTGTTGATAAGAGCTATAATTTCCAAAAATATGTGCCAAATCTCTTCATATGTGCCATACATTTATAACTCTTATTATATTATTTAAAATAACCGCTTTTGGTTATAGAATGAAACAAGTATTCAATGAAAATTATATATATACTGTATAAGTGACTTTATACATGTATATGGCATTATATACAGAGGCAACGCTGACTGATATTTTTGGGAGGGGGAAATTCCTATTGAAATTTTGAAATAGGCTAAATCATTAATAAGTGTGTAATTTTTTAGTTTTAATAAAAAAAATTATTTTGATGATATTTTAACTGTATCTTATTTTTTTCACCCATAAGTGACTGATTTAATAATTTTATACCTAATTATTCCAATCAATGAGGTGCGGTTGTTCAACGGGTAAGACATTGAATTTTTGTAAAGAACTGAAACTGGTTCAATGGGTAAAAAATTTAACTACTGTAAAGAAGTGTCATATCAATGGGTACTAGTTAGTATTGAAAGTAAAATCTGTCTGTGTGCGATGCTGACCACATTGTAGAGCCTTGGCTGCCGTGAATCCCTTAGCCCACTAAGGGCTGTTGTCTGTCCACGCCAAATTTACTACCGTTTAGCGGTACCTTCACAAATTCAACTCAAAAATTCAAAACGGTAGTTTCACAAAATACTTTTATTTTTGTGTCTCGTAAGAAATGATAAACTTTTTTTTTTTTCTTCGAATTCGGGAAATTTTCCAGAATTTTGACTTGGGCTCACAATCACCCCTGCTTTCAGGAAAAGCTAGACAGACCCCTGGAATAACTTACTTTTATTCTTATCAATAAATAGTAAACCATTTAATAAATAAACGTTAAATGCAAATCAATTGATTTCTTTTTTTTAAGATGAGGACATAATTTTTCACTATAACTTGAATTAAATAATTTAGTAATAGGCTAATATCATCGAATAGTGGGACATTAATGAACTCAGTAGAAAGAGAAGCATGCTTTAAAATGAAAATATTTCAATGGTTAAAAAGAAAGAAAGGAAAAAAAAATAATGGATTAAAAGTAAATTACAAATAATTTGCACAACTTCTTTAAAATATATTCATTTGTTGAATTTAAAAAACGAACAATAAAGTGAATACAGATATAGTTGTTATACATAGTAATTCAATAAATAATACCAGCATCAAAGCATGTAAAATACGCTTCTCGTTCTTTTCTTCTTAGTTTTATTTAATATCTCAATACTTTTTTTTGCAGTTAAAATTATTACATTAAGGGCTACACTCTCTGCAGGGGTCTGTCTAGGTTTTTCTGAGAGGTACCTATTTTTGTGAAAATTTAGAAGTAATTTGTGAAAATTATAAATTATATTAAAAAATCAACACAAAAATATGAATTTATAGTTTCTTAGGGCATAAAAAAATAAAATTAGAAATTCCTAAAAGTTGAATTTGTCAAGTTGCCACTAAACGGTACTAAATTCGGCCTGGGCAGACCCTTGCTCTGTTATTTATTGCTCCCCGATTCTTGGAGCCTTATAATTTAGTTACTCCAAGTAAATTTTAAGAAAGTAAGACACATTAAAATTATAATTTAATTTATGTTTTCTAAGTAAAGTAAGAGAAAATGAATTTCTGTAAATATGCTGAATGGCCCAGCAAAATTTGCTGAATAATTGCTATTTTTGGTAGGTCACATCCACCTTTCGTTACCTTCCATCCCTGAGCTCACAGTTACAAATCTTTAATAAATAAAAACTTAAACACAGTAATAGCATTCAAAGATATTTCCAATAAATTTGAATATGGCTCATTTCTAATGAAAATTAGTGATTTGGCCTAAGCAACAGAGTCATCTGTTATATGCTTAATAAACTTATTTTGATGTATCAATCAGAAGGGAGGATGTTTACTTTTATTTTTTAGTGACAACACTTTAAACTGAAATCATGATACTTTTTTTTTTTTTTAATCTGTCCACATATTTTTAGTTCTTTGTATTAGCTTTTGCTTTTTCATTTAAGTTTCTTCTGTGTGTCAAAACTTGTGTAATTAATCTGCAACATCCAGGGGGGGGGGGGAAAAAAAANGGAAATAAAATGACAGTAATTTAAAAAATAATTTTTTTCTGAAAATAAGTTCCTATTATAGAAATAAGTAGAAACTTATTTAAAAAAGTTCCCTTGAAAATAATTCTGTAACAAAGAAAAATAAGGGAAGAAAAAAATAAGTGAAAAATATTATTGTTTTCTGTCATTCTTAGATGCTTTATAAAAAATGAAATTATTTTTGAAGATAAACATGGTGTAAACTAAGAGATGTCTAAAACAGAATAAATCTTAAAAAATTAATAGATTCTATGTGAAATAAAATAAATTTCTACTTAAAATCATGATAGTTTTCTTTTTTTTTTTAAGAAAAAAAAAAAAAACTTACTAGGTTAGTTGCATTTTTATTCTTATTTTATATTATATGGGGTCTGTCCAGGTAAATAACTTTTGTTTAATGGTAGTTTCATAAAATACTTTTTCTTAAAATTTTATTTTTGTATCCCGTGAAAGACGATAAATCCATATTTTTGTGTTGATTTTTTAACATAAATTTTAATTATTCACAAATTATGTCTAAATTTTCACAAAATAGATACCTCTCTGAAAAACCTTGACAGACCCTAAATTTTATTGCATATTTATCCTTCATTTTCCCTCATTTTATGTGTCCTCATATTTGATTTTCTGCATTTGTTTTGTTCATTTATATTTTTATTGTTTGTCAAATCTTGTTTATTTATCCACAATATCCATGGGGGACAAAACGAAATGACAGTAAGTTAGAAATTATTGACTTAGAACAATTTAAAATCACTTAAAAAAATTTATTGATATACTCCCTTTGAAAAAGAGAAACTTATAAAAATTTCACGAGTTGAGAATAATTATTACCCAACTAACCAAAGGGTTACCAACTGCTAAATTTTTTTTTTACTACTTAAAAAACTAAATTTTTCAGAATTTTTGGTAATTCTGCCAACAATTTTAAAAGTCTCACCCTAAGAGAGTTAGAACAGAGTGGTGTTTCCTATTTACATGTAGTGGAGTAGAAAATAACTTTAAATCAATTTCATAGGACAAATAATCATTCATTAAAACATAAACTTAAATACCACTAGACACAATTTTCCCAAAAAGTGTAGAAAGTTTGCAGCCTTAGCTTAATATAGTAATGTGTAGGAAATTATTTTAACATGAATAGTAATTTCCTGCATTTTTAATAGTGAAATAGTAGCAAAATTTTTTAATAGTGAAAAAAAATTTGTCTCATAGTTTGCCGAAAATTAGCTTAACAAGAAAAATTTAGGAGACAACCTATAACGTTAAGTTTTTTTGCTCTTATCTATATACAGTGAAGCCCCGATGTTACGCTTTCTATCGGACTAGCAAAAATGTAGAAAGTGGGAGAACATACTATCAGGGTAAAAAAAATATGAATATTTTTTTTACTAATTTACATTTACAAGTTTAAGAAAAGAATGCTTAATTTTTATTTGTTCTTTCTGGGTGCATATCATTTTTAGAAAGTGCTTTTTATTTTCATTGGGTACTTTTCAAAGTGTTTAATTACATCTTTTCCTTTACCATGTCAATTTTGTCACGAATTATGCAATAAGTGTTGTTTTTTTATGGCTTCCTTCAAAAAATTTCAAATTTGTTCAACCCCAATCAATTTTGGTGTATAGTCTGTCCGTAGCGTGAAAAAACCCACCAATCAATTCACGTGTTAGAAGAAATACTTGTGGGTCTGCACATGCTTACAGTGAGCTGAATTCCATTGCACTCATTGTTAATGTTACTATTTTTAAGATTGAGATATATTGATAACTATATATTTAAAACAGGGAAATTTATCCTATTTTCAAAATATAGCATGTTTCATTTTGAAAGAACTGTTTAAAAAATTTTAATTAATATATATTTTATTTTGTGTGTTAAGGAGTCGTTTTGCAACTCTCCCCAACCGGAAATGCCTAACGTGAGGCTGAATTTAAATGATGCGTTCGAAAAAGAGGATCCTAAACAGTCTGATAATATGAGCGTGTATGCTCGTATTCGCCCAATGCTGCAAAGAGAAGAAGATGCTGGCTATAAGGTATGTAAAATATAATAATAGATATTAACTAGACTTTTGATAGTATCATTGGTTTAAATAAAGGAAATTTGTTTTAAAAATTTATTGACAACAAATGTACTAAGTATTTTAATATGAAATTATCAGGTTTTTATTAAAGCTTGGTTTTTAATATACTAGTGCAATGGTTCTGTTCTTGTAGATCTAATTTATCAGTGTTTGTCACTGTTTTAAGTTTTTTAGTTATTAAAGTTGATTTTCTGCAGTCATGCTAAGTTTTTATTTTTTTTACTTTATTTTAATGTTTTCACATATTAATTTGTGTTTTTCATAACTGCCAAGTCTCTTGTTTTTTAACGAAAACTCCTGTATTTTACCCCATCTCCTGTTTGCCCGTATATTCTCAAATTTCATCAGATTTGTTGAAATTTAAAAAATAAAGTTGCAATTAAATATATCCACTGATGGCAAAAGGGTTAATGGTTCAAGTAATTATAAGTAATGGTTTAGATTACGATTTATATTAATATTTTTTACTTCACTAAATGTAAATGCTTATAATATTTAGAATTTCTTTTTTTGACTTACTTCCTTATGTATGATGTATCAAAACTTTACTCGTAGCTTAAAAAATGTTGCTAGCTTCATTTCAAAGCTTTATTGATGGTAAAATCTCCTATTTTATTTATCTGGTGTTGGCAGGAATGGTTTTTTATTTGTCTTCTTTTTTTTCTCTTTTTTTTTTGGATGTGTAATTTTAAAGGCTAAAATTTTTTTTATTTGATAATAGAAATGAAAAAACATCAAGAAAAAGCAATTGAATAATTTTTATTTATTTTATAGCAATGTATAGCAGCAATAGATGATGTTACTGTGAGAGCTGTTTTCCCTAAGAGTTCATTGAAATTCAAAAATAATAAGGAGGAATCTATAGCAGATTTTACCTATAGTCGAGCATTTGGACCTGAGACTGGCCAATTTCTCTTTTTTGAGGAAACTATCATGAAAACAATGCAAAACTTCATTGATGGCCAGAACTCCTTAGTTTTTAGCTATGGCATCACCAATTCTGGTAAAACGTATACTTTACAAGGTATGTTGTATTTGTAAATATCTATATATCTGTAATATCCATACATTTTTAATATCTATACATTTTTAATTATCTAAAAATTCGTGATTTTTTTGTTCTTAAGAATTTTATCTAATTTTCCACTTATGGACCATGTGATCTGAAAATTACAATATAGTTTTTCCATAGAAAAGTATTGTTTCCAAGCAGATTTTTGACATTTCAAACTGTAGTTTCAATTGTCTGATTAAAAAAAAAAAAATTCATTGTTTAAATTTGGGGGATAACTTATTTTAAAAAAGGGGCTGCAAAAATGTTTTATGTTGAATGAAGTTTTTAAATTATTTGATTCTTTGGGTGAGGCGGTTCATTTAAAATTATGTTTTCCAAAGAATCTCAAGCTATTGGGGTTTCATCTTCTCATTTGCTGTAAAAATTATCCAGAATGTATTTCAGTATACATAATGTATTTAGATATAAATGTAACAGCCTTGTTCGATAAAATTGTAATCAGTTTGAAGAATCAAATGATTTGAGCTTTTTACCCAACATCTTTTCATTTTAATTCATATTAATAAAATGTTATCTTAAAAGTATTATGAGTTAAGTGCTTCTTTAACAAAATTATACTCAGGGATGAGTATGTGGCTGTCACCCCTTCCGCATTTTTAATTATTTTAACTATTTTTTACTCATGGAAAATAAGATTTTACGCATTTTTACCCGCACACCAGATACCTCGTATTTTCGTAATTCAGACGTCGCTCTTCTCGATTCTTATTCACACTATCTTAATGGCAAACATCGATTTTCGTATTGGCCTGCTTTAAAAGTTGCACATTGCGATTTTTTATCATGCGATTTAAATATTCTACGACACATTTCTTATTTACGATATTTAGCAATCCAATGTCGTGATTTTTATTTAAGAATTTTTAATACCCTATGTTGCGATTCGTATTCACACGAGTTTAAAATCCAATGATCTGATTCGCTTATGCAGTTGTACTATCAAACATCGATTTTCCTATTTATACACGATTTAAAAATTGCGCATCATGATTTGTATTCTTGACATCCATTTTCTAGTTTCATATTCATGTAAATTAAAAGCCACATACCTGGATTCTTATTCTCTTAATTTAAAATCAAATATTACAATACTTATTCACACGATTTTAAAATCGTACATGTGATTCATATTCATACAATTTAAAAATAAATCATCGGGATTTGTAATCACTGGCTTTAAAATCACACTCTTTTTGTCTAATTTTTGGATATCATAGTTTATTGTATAATAATATATATAAATAAAATATTCCTTCTGGGATTTCCTCTTTTTTGCTTACTGACTACTCTCATCCCTGTATACTGGAAAATTTAAACTTTCTATTTTCAGGGATGAGATTTTTCCGCTTTTTATCGAATTTCCGCTTTTTAGCTGCACATGGAAGAGATAGTGTTTTTTGGGGGGGGAGGGGGAGCCAGTTCTAATGTCCCTAAATAGAAGACCCCGACTAACTTTCAAAGTCGACGGAATTCAAGAAATTCAGTTCTACTGGTAACAAACCTGCTTATAGGAATTAAGTAAAAGAAGCATAAAAAAATTTTTAAAACTGGAATCCATAACTAAAACTATTTCTTAAAATTTTGAAGAATTAAAATAAATTTGTGTAATATTCCAATGTGTAATAAGTAACTCCACGGGGAGAACAAGGAAAACCTGGAAAATACAGGAAATTTAAAAATAACCTGAAAATGCAGGGAATTTTGTTTCTTATTTTTGTCTTTTAAAAAATGGTGACCACTCAAAGTGTAATCTATGGGTTATTTAACTATGATATTTCAACTATACTAAACTATTTCATTTGCTATATCATTAAGTATGTTCAGCTGTTTTTTCAGCAATTGAAACTAATAAATATAGTTAGTGTATTATGGCTTACACAAGAGCACAGCAATTGTTGTTTCCTATTAATATATTGTGTATTAGTATGTACAGGGAAAACACATGGAACTTTTTTCCTGATTTGAGTGGCAACTCTGTTATAGGAAGCATAAAATTTTTTTAAAATTCATGATTGAATTAAAAATTAAGCAGATTTGTAAGAAACAGGGTCTGAAAATTCCCTGCCCACCTAGGTTTTTCGTCCGAAACCTGGGGTTTATTGGGTTTTTGATGAAAACAAAGTTTTTTTTTTCTTCCAAAAATAATAATTTTTTTTTCCGGAGTACTAAGTAAGAAAACATGATCTGTTTCTAACAGGAAAGTTAAATATTTGGTAACTATTTATAAATTGTTTTGTTGCAATGTAAAATTGTTTTAAAGTTTTAGATTGCTACGTTATTATTTTTATTTCTTAAAGATAAGCAGATTGTTACATAAAAATTTAAATCTACTCAACTAAAAGATCCTTATATTTTAATAATCATCCCTGTTTTAGAATTTTTTAGAGTTTTCTGCTACAAACCCCTATATACTTTTCATTATAACAAATATACATGTTACTAATTTAAATTTACAAAAGCGTCAATATCAAAAGAGAAAAAATAATCTAATTTTTTAAATTGAATATGTAATGTTTTTTTTTAAGTAGTCTCTCTTAAAATGTTTTTTTAAGAGAGTTATGTAAGTGATACTCTCGCATTTAATAGGAAGAAAACTGACTAATTATTTTCTTTCTCTTTTTTTATAAGTCATCCGAATTTAAAAGCAAATTTAAAAAATAGGGAGCCTGACAGTAACTACCAAAAAAATATATATATAGCAAAATTATGCAAATTGAACTCTTTAGAAAGGGGGCTGTAAATATGTGTTTTCATTTCAAGATCCAGTTGTTGTAATAAATAATATTAGAAATATCAGATTTTAAAAACTGTGGAAATCATTAGCAACAACTGTCAACAAAATTTAAACAAAATTTTTACTAGATAATTCTCAAATGAGAATAGAAAAGTTATAAGCATTTTTTCCACTTCCCTGCACCGGAATAGAATCTTTTGAATGTAATTCTGAAGAAAAGATGTAAGATGTCTTTCGAAACTTTCTGCAGGAACCCCCTCCCCCCCAAATTTTTTACTTCTCAAAGGAAAAATCTTTCTGCGATGATGTAGCAGCGTCGACACGATTCTGTTAGAGAGATAATCATTTTATTCAGTTAACATTGCAACTTAATGTACTGTTTAATTTTAGTTGAAATATTTGGTTGCTTTAAAATTATTTCATGTTTTTCGCCAAAGTGTTTAGTTGCATTAAGTAAAGTTAATTCCTAATAACAGGTTTGGCTGGAAAAGATTTTGTTTTAGTTCATCATAAAAGTAATAACACATTTGCTGGTCTAGTAGCGAATATATAAACTTGTTGAAATAATTTTTAAGTTTTAGACAAATTTCTTTCTCTCTCTCTCTCTCTTTTTATATATATATATATGGAAAAAAAATTCCAAATCTTAATTTCTGCACAATTTTACAATTAAATTTCAATTAAATCATTAAAAGTGAAATAAGGATTTGTTTAATCTAAATGACATTAACTTTTAATAATAACAACGCTGATAAACAATTATACTATTTTCAGAGTCTTTAATTTTTCAAATAAGTGCTTAATTTTTTCAAACAAAAAGTCCTTAAAGTGCTTAATTTTTGCTTTGTTGAAAGAGTGGGAACCCTGTTATACTTCCAATAAAGTAGTTTCGCATTTGTAAAATTTATTGAAATATAATTTTTAGCTACTTTATTTCATTGTTGAATTTTTCTTTTTCAGGAAATGAAGAGAACCCAGGTGTCATTATCCTTGCTTTACGGCTCTTTTTTTCTGCAATTGAGCATCAGCTTTTAGAAAAATTTTGTGTGAAGCCGGATAAATTTTCGGATCTGAATAGTTTAGAAGAATCTGATATAATGAAAGAGATTTCTATAAAAGAAGATTTAATGAAGTTTTATAACCAAGAGGTATTTTATTTCTTAAGAATCAAAATTACTATAATTTTAGTTAGTTAAATTTCCTAATTTCTTTGTGGAAATTGTGATCAGATTTATATTTTTCAAAACAATATTAGGCAAAACTTTCTTTTAAATTAGAGTGCATATCCTAATCTTGATTTTCTGTTTAAAAAAAGTGCTTAAAAATATTTTTTTAGTGCTTAAAAAGTGCTTATTCTTTGTTGAAAAATTTAGCTACACATCCAACCACCTAGTAAGTGTGATCAAAACTGTGGTTAGTCACTGAGCAGTATCATGGGTACAAGGATCTGGATAAAATTTTATTCCCCTTCAGATCTATATCTAAATTGAGGAAGTAGTCTCAAATTATACTTGCATGTCTTTGGATCATCCTCAGGGATAGTTTCCTGACCGTTCTCATTAGCCCATTGTGTAACTTTAGTGTGATGTAAATAATGTACCTACCTACATTTTCTTTTACTTCATAACCTTACTTTAAATTATTTTTTGTGTGTTATAAAAGATTTGGTTAAATTATAAATTCCTTTTTCTTTTAGGTGGTTAACAAGTCTGCTGAATCTTCTAGCATTTCAAAATCATTTGCTATGAAATTATGCGATTGTTTTTCTGATAGATATGAGAATCTGGGAGATATTGAGACAACATTGCCCCCAGAAGGTAATGCTTTTTTCCCTGTATGCTTTTGTCATCTTGTTTTCATTTTCAAATATGCTTGTCTCTAATTTATTTTTTATTTTATACTATAGAGTAAAACAAATTTGCTTTTTTTTTTAACATGATGTACTAGTTTTATGTTCTTATCTAATTTACTCTTTAACATGTATATACCCTGCCAACAAGACACTTTATTTTTATATCATTGATCATTTTACTTGTGATTGTGTTCGCATTTATATTTTAATTAAAAAATTTTCAGAATACTTATAAAATATTTTCAGAATACTTATATTTTGTTTTGAACAGTCTTTTGTGAGGACATAAATTTTTACCTTATTTTCTATTGACACACTACTAGAATTTTGCTTTGTGCAGACATAATTTCTTTTACCATATATTTCTAGTAAGTAAAATTCTCTATAATTTATACATATAAAGTAATGTTATATTTTTTTTATTAAATATTTAATATACTTTATAAATATAAATTTTTTGTGATTTACTGCATACTTTGATCACTGCATTGTCAGTATGCGTATAAGCAGACCATACCACTGATTGGAAACGTTGAGGAAAATTTCTGTTGGCATTCTCGACAATTGCCAAACAGCTGTACGCTCATATTTTTGTTTTTCTTTCGGTATTGTGTATCTTTCATTTACTAAGGTGGGTATGAATGCGACATTCCATAGTTTCAGTAAAGCGGAACTTTCTAAAATTGTCTCTAATGTCATTACCACAAATGATGGGAAAATAATGGAAATCCGCTCTTCTATTAAGTCGTATATATATATTAAGTCAAATGCTGTTAAATGAGTTAAGAAATTAAAAATATAATTAAAAAATAACGTATAATTATGTTTTTAATTACTTAATTCATTTAACAGTATTTAAGAATCTATAAATATATCAGGGTTGCCACTCCGCTGGGAAAACCTGGAAAATACAGGGAATTTAAAAATCACCTAAAATAACAGGGAAAATACAGGGAATTTGGATTTTTTCTTTACAAACTGGGAAAATACAGAGAATTTTGTTTCTATCTTTTGTCTTTTAAAAAATGGTGACTACTCAAAGCGTAATCTATAGAATATTTAACCATGATATTTCAGCTATACTAAACTATTTCATTTACTATAGCATTATTTAAGTATGTTCAGCTGTTTTTCTAGCAATTAAAACTAATATATATAGTTAGCCCACTATAGCTCACACAAGAGCTCAGTAATTGTTGTTTCATCTTAATATATTGTGTGTAATATGTACAGGGAAAACACAGGGTATTTTTTTTTTTTAGATTTGAGTGGCAACCCTGTATATGTTACATATAATCGTTACAGAATAACCTGTACACAATATATGTAAACAAAATATATTTTTAAAATTTTGTATTATCTATTAATTGCATTTATTATTCTGATATTGAAAGAGCATCAAGGTATCTATGACCTCCATAATAAATGAAGTATTCACGGACTTTTATGTATATTAAGGAATTGAATCAATTTTTCACGAAGTTTAAGATCTCATTTCATTGCAAAAAAATATAATTCAATAAATATTTTTTTTAAACAATAAATGCTTCTAGTAATGAAACAAACTCTTTCAAACTTGTTATAAGACTCGGATAAACTCCAGGTTTTCAATCTGAGCTGATAAAATAAAAAATGCAGTAGAAGCTCACATAATAAGTTACTATTTTTTCTTAATTTATTTTTAATCAATGCTCATTAAATCGGATAAAATTAGATATCATTTATATGAAATCAGATATTTTGATAGATTCAGATTAAGTTTAAGATGAATATATATAATTTAGAGTTTATAACTAGTGACATAGGTCATTAAAGAAAAATCAGGCTTTTTTTTTTGCCCACTAAAGAAGAACCAGCAAAACCTCTCGAATTTTCGTTGATCACGGGAACCAACTAAATATTGCCATTTCCCCCCCCCTCCCCTAATAGCAAGAGAAAATTTTATTTCTCTTGGTAATTTACTTTTTACTCTACTATTAACTATATGTAACTTAACTGTTTTGCAATATTAAACAGCAAATATGTTGTGTTTAATTTATTAATAAATTTAATATTTCCAGATATTGAATACAAAACTGTAATTCAGAATTGACTTTGTGCTGTATTACTTATTGATTATTCATACCCTGAAATTTATGTACCTCATCTTGACAGTGCGCGTAGCGTTTTTAAAAAGTACTTTTCTCATTGGGTGTTTTTAAAAAGTGCTTAATTTTCACTTCACTTTTCAAAATGAGATTTTTCCTTTACTATGTTGATTTTTTGCTTCGAATTATGCAAAAAGTGACAGTTCACAATTAATTCAGCCCCAATCTATTTCGGCGTATTGTCAGACCGTAGCGTGTGAAAACTTCATTCCTTTTGCACGATTCAAAATTTCATGATTTTTGACAATTGTCCAAAACAATGCCGAATATTTATTTGTTTATTTTTTTTGTTCACTTTGCTGTTAAACCAAGATAAAACCGACAATTTTCAAAAACTTTCCAACCTTGCCTAATTACAATTTTTTTTTTAAAGTGCTTAAAAATATTTTTGAGTGCTTAAAAGGTGCTTATTTTTTGTTAAATAATTTGGCAACACATCCTGCTTGCGCTAGGACCACGTAAGCAGACCTCTCTAGTTGGCGTTCTACTCATTAACTAATTTTAAAATGCCACCCTTAGACAATATTTTGCATATTTTTTTTATTTCATACTGAAAATATTTGTTAGTTGAGAAGCTCACATACATGCATATGAAGATTAGAAAAAAAAAAAATCCCTGATGTCAGTTAAAATTTTAGTTATGTTAATCTACTTTGAATGTGGTAACTTTGTTTTTTTTTTCGTATTAGAAAATTATTTTTTTCAACTGAAAAGTTTTATTCCAGAAATGGAAGCTGCTCAATGTGCTGCAGTTCTGAAAATGTTGAGCAAAGAAACTGCAGATCGGCAAAGTGGAAAATGCAACATCTGGATTTCTTTCATTGAAATCTACAATGAATATATATATGATCTCCTCCAACCGAATGTGTTTCCAAGAAAAAAACTCCAGTTGGCAGAGGATCTAAATGGAGATGTATACGTCAAAGGTGGAGAAAAAATAATTTTTTTTTGTACTTTATTTTGATTTTTAAAAAATAGTTCAAGACTTACTGGTTTTAATTTTAGGTGCTAAAGAAGTATATGTTGCTAATGTAGAGGAGGCATTGAAACTTCTGCATATTGGAAGAAAAAGCTTGAGAATTGCATGTACAAAATTAAATTACCAATCTAGTAGAAGGTGTGTAATCATTTATTTTATTTTAACATGATGTGCAGCGTTTATGAAAAGTGCTTTAAGGTGCTTATTTTCGACTTTCGTTTTTTAAAAGCCCTTAGATGTACTTTTTTCATGGAGTGTTTTTAAAAAGAGTTTAATTTTCCCCTTTCGAAAATGAGATTTTTTTTTCTTTACAGTGTCAATTTTCGCCATGTATTGAAGAAAAGCCTGTGCATTTCACATTGTTCAGTTGAACATTTTCACAATTCATTCATTCGCAANCAAAAATACTAGTTTACAAGAAATCACAAAAAAATAAGAATTAATGTAAAAAAACGAACATATAAACTATAGAAAACAAGCTAACAATTAATAACTAGCAAAAAAATAAATAACTGTTACTAACTAACAAAAAATTAGTCGGAAGATATAATTAATCCCTTAATAAACGTGCTTTTGTAGTACATATTACTTTATTTCTCATTCAAAATTATTATCACAAACTATTTAACACAGTGTATTATAGGTAAGTAAACAAATTTTTTCATTTCGTGCCGTCAAATTTCGAAATCGTTAAAAGTGTGCCGCCACAACAAAAAGGTTGAGAATCACTGCCTTAGACAATATTTTGCATATTTTTTTTATTTCATACTGAAAATATTTGTTAGTTGAGAAGCTCACATACATGCATATAAAGATTTAAAAAAAAAAAAAAAAAAAAAAATCCCTGATGTCAGTTAAAATTTTAGTTATGCCAATCTACTATTCTAGAAATGGAAGCCGCTCAATGTGCTGCAGTTCTGAAAACGTTGAGCAAAGAAACTGCAGATCGGCAAAGTGGAAAATGCAACATCTGGATTTCTTTCATTGAAATCTACAATGAATATATATATGATCTCCTCCAACCGAATGTGTTTCCAAGAAAAAAACTCCAGTTGGCAGAGGATCTGAATGGAGATGTATACGTCAAAGGTGGAGAAGAATTTTTTTTTTCTTTTTCTGTACTTTATTTTGATTTTTAAAAAATAGTTCACAACTTACTGGTCTTAATTTTAGGTGCTAAAGAAGTATATGTTGCTAATGTGGAGGAGGCATTGAAACTACTGCATATTGGAAGAAAAAGCTTGAGAATCGCATGTACAAAATTAAATTACCAATCTAGTAGAAGGTGTGTAATTATTTATTTTATTTTAACATGATGTGCAGCGTTTATGAAAAGTGCTTTAAGGTGCTTGTTTTCGACTTTCGTTTTTTAAAAGCCCTTAGATGTACTTTTTTCATGGAGTGTTTTTAAAAAGAGTTTAATTTTCCCCTTTCGAAAATGAGATTTTTTTTTCTTTACAGTGTCAATTTTCGCCATGTATTGAAGAAAAGCCTGTGCATTTCACATTGTTCAGTTGAACATTTTCACAATTCATTCATTCGCAATTTATTTCGGCGTCCCATCAGTCTATATTGCTTGAAAGCGCTAATCATTTTACATGTTTGATGATATCCTTGAAAGTCCACATGTGCGTCTACTGAATTCGGGGTTTTACTGAGATTTTTGCACTCTCATGTTCAACTCTGCTGCATTTTGCAAGATAATCTCAATTTCAGGATTCATTTTCCACCCTCTGATATCAAACCGTAAAACCTGTTCATCTTTTCTCTGAAGTAGTCTAAAAAAAATTTCTTAGATTAAAGTAATTAAAAAGTGATAAAAATTAGATTAATGAATTTATTTATTAATGTTATATGTCCTTATAATAATGGTCAAGTTTTCTATTTTATTTTTAAAAAAGTTAAAAATAAGTTAAATTTTGTCCTGTCCACGGAGGAGATGTAATAGTCAGCGGAGGAATCATTTTATGTTATAAAATATAAATTGACAATGAAGACTAATTCATTAATTCTTGGGTACAATTGATACAAGTTTAACATTAATAACTAAATAATAAAATATTTCATTATTAGAGATAGAGCTACACCCAATTAATCATACTGTTATGAAAGGAAACATGCATTTTTAAACTAGGTGTGCAATTTTTTAAAGTAAATCTTACTGAACATTAATAAATTAAAATGTAAAGACTTTTGAAATAAAAGTTCAGACTCAACATGAAAGTAATTTATGTCTTCCAAACAAAAAATACTGTATTTAATAGTGTGCTTAGTTTTTTAAAAAAAATTGTTATCAACACCGGAAAAAAAGTAGCAGAAAGAATGTGAGAATAGAGCTGGAATGTCCCCCCCAAAAAATGGTATTTGTAGAAGCTTATGATACCTAAAGTATTTCAAAGAAAAGAAGACAAAATAAAAATAAAACAGCACTGATACAAGCAGTAGAAATTCAGGATGGATATTCATTTTGTAATACTTCTCATTGAGAAAAGCTATTAAAAAAAGCCTAACATGCATTACCTATTTCTCCCAGAAAAAGTCTACTCAAATTCTGTGAATCTGTAACCTTACTACCAAAACAAACGAAACAGTCTAGTTCTGAGAAAAAAAGAAAAAAAACTTGTTATAGATTTCTTCTAATGTGATGAAATTTCTTGCTAGATTCCCGGTAGTGCAAAAAGTAAGCTGTATCTAAATATAAAAATTGGCAAATGAAAGTTTGCCAAACTATGACCTACCCATTATAATTTGGTATCGTACTTTTCTCAAAAAAAGAAAGTACTTAGTTTTCTAAAGTGTTTCTGTAACTATTGTTCAAATTAAGGAACTAACAAATTTTTTTTTTTTTCCTTAAGTAAAACAGGTTGACATGCAGTCTTGTTCCATGTTGATGAAAATTCTCTGTGAATTATTAATAATATATTTATATATATTTTTATGAAAGTTTTTGTTTATGCCTTTGAAGTTCAATAGCATTTTTGTATTTTCAGTCATTGCATATATATTGTGAAAGTGGTTCGTTTAAGTGATGACTTCGATTCATTTCGGATAAACAGGTAAGATTTAAAAGATATGAACATATACACTATACGGTGAAAAAAAAAATTTCAGATAATTCCTTCTTCCAGGAATCACTAAAAGTGACTTTCTAATATGTTACTTAGTACAAATTAATTTTTTAAGCTGCAGTTATAACAATATGAAGATTAGTAGTTGTCCTTATTTGTCTTGATTTTTTGTTCAGATATTTCTCCTTTTTGTACGTGTTTATAACTTCCCATCTTCTATGAATATAAATGTGAATTTTAAAATAATCTATTTAAAGAATCCGGCAATTAAGATTTTCATTCTAACATCTTTTTATGCTAGTGAAAATTGCATAATTCGATAATTCAAAAATTTAGCGTCACTAATTATAGACATGGTTTAGGTATATAGCCTTACATTACTCACAGGATTTATTGCTTCAAACATTTTGGGAATTCCGTCATTTTATTAAAACAAAACTCAGTCAACAATTTTACATTATAAAATTTTTGGGATGATGAATTCACAAGTCATATGCTTATTTATTATTTTCAGCTAATGCTGTAACATACCTTATGGGGCTTTGTCGTTTCATAAATGTTAATTTGTCTCGTCAATCTGATTTTAAAAATGATCCATTTTAATCAATAATACAGTATTCATATTACAGAATTGAGGGCTCACCTCTAAATTACTTTTACACTAATCCTTTGTTTCTTTTTTCATTAGTCTTTAAATTACTAAATTATTTTATTTGTACAAAAATGTTCAGCACCATACAATTGTGTTTTCTTTTTGAGATTATTACGACCACTTTAATTAAAAAAATTTTTAAGAAATGTTAACTAATTTTTATTGGTTATTTTTTATGCAAACAGTACTGTAAAAATTTTCTGTGTAATTATCTCAAATGACTGAATCTAAAAACTGTTAAACAGCGTAATTCTAAAATTAAAAATAGAATTTAGTTTGTTCTTAGCATCTTTTAAATGTAATCTGATGTGTGTACACTTTTCCTATCCAAAAAATGACCTTTAAAAAAAAAAAATCTAAATTTCTTTTTCTTAAGCATCAGGGCCGATTGTGCTCCGGAAAAAATCCGGATTTCCAGATTTTTTGCTAACAGTGATCCGGAGATAGAAGGTCCAGACATTTCAAAAAATCATTGATCACAGAAGTTCCCGGAAATCAAATTTTCGAATGTGGAATTTAAAAACGCAGTTTATTTTATTTGTTTATAATGGAGAGCCAGAGAGATACTTTAAAGCTTATATTCATGATTAATATTCATTTTTTATCAGTAAATAGTTATTATAATCATAAACTCAAGAAAGAAAGACGTATTTGTAAATTTTAATTGCTTCTCCAGGTCATCATAGATATTTGTAAGTGGTATAGGTATGTGTAAAATTTTAAATATATTTTAAGTAAACTAAGAAATATTTAGAAAAAGGAAAAAAATATTGTTTAAATTTTTTTCTAATTTTTCAATTTAAACCGTCGATTAATTCAATTAAACTTTTTCAATTTCAATTAAACTTTTTTTAAGCTCAAGAAATATTCCGGAATTTTGACTTTGGCTCGCAATCGTTCCTGAAGCATACTTTGAGTGGTCTGCAATGTCAAAAGATTGATCTATTTGAATATTCAAAATACTTTGTAGTTAATGAGATAGATCAACAAATATAATTCTCTTTAGGTTAGCTTTCTGTGACTTAGCTGGTTCAGAGCGAGCAAGCAAGTCTGATACATCTGGGATGAGACTAAAAGAAGCTGGTTATATCAACACGTCATTACTTGTATTAGGAAGATGCTTGGAACAGCTTAGACAAAATCAAAACTCCAAGTATGTCCTTGCAGAGGCATTTAACTAAAAACAAAGATTATATATTTTCTGTAAAAAAATTTAATTTTTTTCTCCCTTTTACTCTAGAGATAAAAAACTCATTCCATTTAGAGAAAGTAAGCTGACTCGACTTTTTTCTGGTCATTTTATGGGCAAAGGCAATGCAGTTATGATCGCAAATGCCAGTCCCTGTGAATATACCTTTGATGAGACCTTGAATGTCCTTAAATTTTCAGCTGTTGCAAAAGAAGTAAGTCTTACACAAATATCAATTCATTCTTATATTGTTAGTATATACATTGCTATGTTGTGTTATGAATTGTCAGCTTAATATTCATAATACAATCAATGTGTAATTTTTATGAAATATAAAGTGTTACGTAAGTCCCAAGGTTAAATTTAAACCTTTGCTCCGAAAAAATAATAACTAACGAATTTCAGTAATCTGGCTACTTTTTCACTTCTTTGCTTAAATATATAACTGAAAGTACAGAAAACTATATAACTGAAGAAATTTAACAAATATAATTTGGTTTTTAAACTAATATGGATAGGATGCTGTTTGAGTAGCAAATAACAAACATTAATGAAATTTTTAAATGATATGTGTGAAAAAGAATGCAACACAAAGCCCCTTATAAAGCTTTATTTTCTGACCACTATTTTACAATCATAATAAACAAATCTTTTTTTTTAAAAAAAAATTATGTTTGATTTGTTAGAAAAGATAGTATCAAAAAGAGAAAAAAAAAACTTTCTTCCTTGCTATTTTTCCTATGTTTGAATATTTACTATACTTCAATAAGCATATTAAAAGAGTTGTTAAAATGATAGAATAAACTATAAATATTAATAAAGCTGAATATTAAAATTGTTTGAAAAGAGCACCAGCAGACAAGCTTTGTTCCACTTAAAATTATAAATGATTTTAGTAATAAAATCGACTCAATTATGTTCCTGGCTTTTCTGTTGATTTTTTATTATTAAATGGTACTAATTTACTTATGGAGTATGGGACTTTTTAATGTTACTTTTATCTGATTATTTTCCCAGATAATTCTTCACATCAAATGGGGGGGGGGAGTTAAAATCTGTCTTTACTCATGAAAGCAAAAGTTTAAATTATCATCTGCTCACTTTTATTTATTTTTTTCGAACCTATCAGTAAGATTGCCTCATAAGTCGCAGCAATCTTGATGAATACAGATACAGGATTTTCCATTGTGTATAGAAAATCTAATAGTTAAATATTGACCAAATTATTGTGACTCTTAAGGAAAAATAAATTTTCGGGAAAGGGAATTAAAAAATGAATTTATTCGATTAGTTTATTAATTTGATTAATTCGATTATTTTATTCTACTTAAAATATTTTTTATCGTTATACTGGTAAAGTTTATAATTCTATTTCTTTATTTAATTATTTTTGCATTTGAAAATTAAATAATTTTTAAAATAGCGCTAAAGTGTTCGTGTATTTTTAAACTTTGAATTTAGTATATTTGTTTTTCATATATTTACTATTATTGCACTTTGAAAAATGTTTATGTAGTACATAACATATCTTTATGTATTTCTTAGAGAATTCTGAATAACATGATATCTATGCATATTCAGATTGAGTTTAAGACTGCAATTGTCTAGAAATACATTATCTGGATTGTTTTATGTCAATAAAGTATAAATACTGTCAATGATGTATAAATACTGTATGACTGTATTAGGAATACTATACGAACATTAATAGAAAAATTATTTTATTCTTCTAACAATATTTTTCATTCATATTAGAAGTAACTAATGTGACTATTTTTGGATTTTTATCTCATTGGCAGCCCTGTAAATGTATTGTGAAAGTTCTTTACTTTTAGCATTTGGTAAAAGTTAACTGCAAGTTTAACTCTTAAAGTAAAAAAATGCTGTATAAACTAATCTACTTCCTGCTGAATTGCAACTACAGCATTGAAATTTGTGATATTGAAAAAGTAATTTTTATCTGATGTAATTTGAGTTGTTTTAATTTGTTTGAAAATTATTAAATGCTCAGGAATTTATCTCTTATTTTTTGCCTTAAATGCATTATTAGAGAAATTATTTTTTTAACTTGTACTTTTTTTATACACTTAGTGAAGATGTAAAAAAAAAGAGAGAGATTTGATGTTTTCTGGTATGAATCTTAACGTTTATAACTAAAATTTTAAAAAAAGCTTTTTTTTTTTTAACTCTTAAATCATGCTAGTTAATAAAGTTTATTTCTTGTTCATTTTTCATTCAACCACAATTTATTTCGATGCACCTTCGGTTCATAACGTATGAAAGCGTCATTCATTTTACATGCGTGATGAAATATTTGGGAGACTGCATGTGCGTATACTGAGCTGGGTTCAGTGAGATTATTGCACTCTTATGTGCAACTGCTGCATTTTGCAAGATTTCATGCTTCATTTTTCACCCGCTGATATCGAATCGAAAAATCTCTCGATTATTTTATAATGGCTAATATGATCAAGGAAAGAGTTCTTTGTCAGAAACTGGTTATTTTATCATGATCATATGAAGTCTTTGAAAATTATTTTGCATTTTGTTAAAGTATATAGTGCTTAAAAAGTATTTAAAAGGTATTTATTTTTTGTTGAAAGATTAGGCTACGCACCCTGATTAAATCACACAAGTTTTATTCTTTAGTTGAATTTTTTTTTCCAAGTACAGATGATTATTTTAAATTCCTAGTAATTGGTCATTTCATTGCACTTAACATATTTAAAACGTTTTTTTTTTTTTTTTAAACTCTCTACTATTTAAAGTAGCTATGATGAGTGAGAAACATTTACAAGGGTTGGTAAGCAGGAGACTGAGTTTTGTAGTTTTGAAAAATATCCTTAGAAAATTTTTATACACTAGTTCATTGTTTGAATTAAAAATTACTATGAATGCAAAAGTTTAATTTGTTTTGTCTTGTCCAGCTTATTTTGAATGACACTTATATGAAAATGGCTTCAAGCTCCTTACAAAGTATCTCGAGCCAGTGGTCTCAGTGCAGAGCCCAAAGTTCCAGTTTTACTCTCGATCAAAGCTCTGACATTGAAAATTCTTTGCTTGAAGATATTCACCAAAAAGATGAATTAATTGAGGTAATTTTTATCTACTTCCATTTTTTTTTTTTTTTTTTTTTTTTTTTTTTTTTTTTTTNTTTTTTTTTTTTTTTTTAAGTTGTATACGAAGTTAATCTTCCTAATTTGGCTATTGAATATTTTTTAGAAATTGTTGGATCTAGCAGATTCTCTCAGAAATAATTTAGAGGAAGAGAAGAAAGAGAAATTTAATTTAGAATATTCTATTCGCCAAAAAGTTTGTGAAGAGTATTCTAAATATACTGATGAACTGCTAGACAAACAAGAGTAAGTAAGAAAATTAGTAATTGAAATAACTAAGCCATGTCGAAACTAGCATGGTTCCTGATTTTTTTTTATTTAAATCAGATCTTCTTTTTTTTTCAGAATTATTTAAGTGTTATAAATATAATTATAAAATTGTAATGAAATGCTAATAAAAGTTAATCTTAACAATACATTTCAAACAAAATTTTCCCATTAAAATCTGGTTTTGTGTTAATGAGTAATGCACTTAAATGCTTGATGCAAATTAAATTAATGGAAGTGTGGATTATTTAGTTACTTAAAATCAGGTTTACAAACAAATGAAAGAAAATAAATTTTTTTAATATTTGAAATGACAAAATAGTGTTTTTATACCTTTTTTTTTGTTTTATAATTATTTCTATATAGAATTAGTCTACTAATTTATTTAAACGCTTTAAGAAAGTCTTTTTTTTTTAATTTCCAATTAATTTATAACTTTTTGAAAGTCCTTAAAAAATTTAAAATGTCTCATGTTAAATTGCTCTGCCAATTTTTAAATTGGTGATTTCTATACATGCCTGAAAATACAGTTAAAAATACTTGTATTTTTACTTATTTTTGGCATAGAGAACTGAAATATTTATTTTTTATGTTGACTTTGACTCATTTAAGATTGAAATACATTGGCAAAAGTAATGTTTGATGAGTATTTACGTGTTTTATTTTTTAAGTTCCTAACTTTATGTAAAACACCATTAAAGACGCATTTTTTTAGTATAAAATTATGGTAACTTTGCACAACTAAATTAGACGTAATGGATTGGTTGTTTTCTCTTGGGTTGAATTAGGTTAGCGAAAAAGTTTTTGTTGCTTGTCTGTTGCTTACAAAAGAAGCCTGAAATGGCAAAAATTGAGTGATAGTAGTGCTTGGAAAAGATTGGTGCGCCTATGAAGTTAAAAAGTATTGAGATGCTAACAGTAAATTAGGTCTGATGCAGGGGGGGGGGACAGATAATCCACAAGGCGACAAACCTCAGTTGGAATTCAGCTAAAATTCTGAAAAATCTAGGTTTATCTCTCATTTCTCATCAATTTAGACAAGTACTTAATCTACCTGATGTCATAAAATGTGGGAACAAACCATTGCTCAGTGCACAGCATTAGGCTCTCTTGAAATTCTCCAAAAAGTGTATGATATGACCTCAAGATTTGAATAAAATTTTGTTTTTAGTTGTAAAATTTTTTTTGACTAAGAGAGTTCAGATAAATAAGACCTTTTTTTTGGTTTTGCTTATAAAATATCGGCATTTTTTTCCCCTTCTTTTTGGCGTCGGAGTAGGTACAGTTAAAAAAACGGAGCTTTGAGACAATTCCCATTTGGTTATCGTACTCCTACAACTATCCAACCAAAATCAATTCCACTTGCAATTCGTACTAATTTTACTTCTAAATATCAGATTTTCATGTAACAAAGTTCAATCATAATGATTTAAGGCCCTAACCTTACATATGCTAAATTATTAATAAGTATGTTAAATTAAAAATTATTAATGCCTATATTTAAAGTTACGAAATCTGACGCAAAAACATTCTTTTAATAAATATGCCTTTGTTTTATTGTTTTGTATTCTTGACTGTTGGGTATATCTCTATATTGTCATGGTGCGTGGCATTTTTAAAAAAGTGCTTAAGTTGCTTTTTTTTTCTTTTTTTTTTTTGAAGACCTAAAGGTGCTATTTTCATTGGGTGTTTTTAAAAAGGGCTTAATTTTCCCTTTTCAAAAATGAGATTTTTTTTCTTTACCATGTCATTTTTTGCCACGTATTATGCAAAAGCACTCTTTTCACATTATTCTATTTTTTCACAATTCAATCAATTTCGGCATCCCGCCGGTCCATGGCGTATAAAAGTGCCTATCATTCTTACTTGTTTGATGAGGACATATCTGTGTCTACTGAGCTGGGTTAGGTGAGATTTTTGCACTCGCATGTTCAACTATGCTGCATTTTTCAAGATATTCTCAATTTAACAAGCTTCATTTTCCACGGCCTGATATTGAATCAAAAAACTTCTTCATTGTTTTATAATGGCTAATATAATCAAGAAAAGAGTCTTTTGTCAAAAACTGGTTTATTTTTTCATGATCATGTAAAAGTCTTTGAAAATTATTTAGTATTTTGTTAATGTGTTCAAGATATTCTCAATTTAACAGGTCAAAAATATTTTTTGCGTGCTTAAAAAGTACTGAAAAGGTGCTTATTTTTTGTTGAAAGATTTAGCTACTCACCCTGATTGTGGAAACGTTTTAAATGTGTTCAAAAGAGTTGTTGCCTCCAATTAAAGAATTCCATGAAAAAAAATAATTTTGAATAGATATTTATTATTTAATTTTTTCATTTTTAAAGCATGAAATTCAAAGGACAAAATGAACAAGGACTGTTTAACATTTCTGAAATTTAAAAAAAATAGAAATAAATAAATGCATTTTGTTGACATGACAATACGTTTTTGATATTGATTTTCAAGTTACCAAGGATTGTTTGTTATTTTAAACTCATTGCCTTTGTGAATTTAGTTTACAAAAGTAAGCAAGTACAATTTTTTTGGCTGCTGTCAAATATACTTCAAACTCTTTAACTTTTGTTTTCAATTGAGTTTGGATTTTTATTTTCCAGGTATGAAAATATTTTGTAAATCATTTTTGTCAAGCAAACAACTTTAGTATTATTTATAAGTCATTTTTGTTTGCAGAAGAAGATATGATAGCCTCATGGAAGATCTAAGAGAGCAGCATAAGAAACGCTTAACTGAGATCGAAAAAATAAAGGATGAGCAGATTAGACAGCTTAGAGAGGAACTGGAAGCTTCAACTGATGAAAGCTTTCAATCGGTAGACACCAGTCTAACTTCTAACATTGTGAGTATGCAAATCTTTACAATGATTACTTCGACTGAATGTAACTTGGAGTAATGTAGTAAATGTATCCTGATCTTCTAATGTAACTAAATTTTCTTTAAATATAATATAACAGGGTTGCCACTATACAGGAAAAACCTGGAAAATACAGGGAATTTAAACATCGCCTAAAATAACAGGGAATTTTGAGTTTTTTGTTTATAAACAGGAAAAATGGAGGGAATTTTGTTTCTTATTTGGTGCCAGCATTTTAAACTGTATGTTGAATCTAATATTATTTAAACTATTAACTGACATTTTAAAACAAATGGTGACCACTCAAATCTTAATCTATCGGATATTTAAGGATGATGTTTTAGCTATACTAAACTGTTTAATTTACTATTGCATTGTTTAAGTATGTCCAGCTGCTCCTTTTTTCTCTTTTCCAGCAATTAAAACGCATAGTTAGCCCAATACCACTCATATAAGAAGGCAGCAATTCATTCCTCTTAATACATTGTGTATAATACAAAAAGAGAAAATACAGGGAATTTTTTTCCCTGTTTTAAATAAATGCTGAAATCGAAAATTTACTTTTTTTTAGATTTTTTAAAAATATTTAGTAAATTTTAAGTTTTACTTCATTCGAGTTTTCGAAAATAAAGGGTAGGTTAGGTCCTGCTCACCTTGAATTATCGAGAAACGAATTATAATGGAAAAACACAAAGCAATGACTTCTTGAAAAACGTGATAATTATAATAATAAATTGTAATAATAGTAAATAGTAGGTATGCTAACTATGTGAGCAGTCTTTTTTGTAATCATTATTTATTTATTTTTTACATTGTTTGAGGTTGTTCAATAAATTCTTTTGAACTGCAAGTTTGCTTATAACTTGGAATGGGGCTACCTCCTAAAACCTAGGGCCAGTTCCTGACACAGGCACAGTCCCACAAGGGATTGTTTTTTAGAGGGTTTAATGTATTAAAGCTTGAATAGGATCTAAACATCAGCATTTGATAATTTCCTTTATTTATTTTTTTTACTTGTCAGACGTTTGTTTGAAAAAATTAAAAAGCTAAAAGGAAACATTTATTATTTCGATACAATTATTAATAATGTTTTATTAGCACCCACAATGTTACCATAAAAAGTGAATACTTAAATTGAGGAACATTGTGTAGCTATAAAGCTCCACTGACATATGTGTAAGTAAAAGGGTACTAAACAACTTTTCTCAATCAAAAAAAGAAACCTCGCAAGTTCTATAATTTTTCTTATATACATTATATTTATTTTGCTTTTACCAACGTTTTTATTTTGTTATAGCAATGCAAGACAGAAACACCAGTTAATGCTGAAGTTTCTGTTAAGGATCATCCAAAAGCAGGTAATGGTACTTTTTAAGTAGTCTATTATCATTATAAAAATTGATTAATTTTTATTTTCATTCAATTTATTCGTGTAGTAATTGATGTGTTTCATAATTATCCTCAGTTGTTTTATAAAAAAAAATTGATATTGAAGTGACTTAAAATTGACAACAAAAATTAGAAAGTTTAAAAATATTTCTGAATTTACCAGTATAATTTTTCTGTTTTCCCTTTTGTTCAATAATTTAAATTGATATAATTTACTTAATTTTGGATTTCCTTTTATTAACTTGCATAACATAACTGTCTGAATTTGTTTCCACATTTGTTTGATAATTAAAGTAAGTTTAAATTGGTAACAAAAATTGATGAAAAGTTTTCTCAATTTGTTTGATAATTACAGTTGATATTATTTAAATTTATTAATCTATTAACTTATGAAATACAACTGTCTGAATTTATTCTAAAATATATTTAACTTAGCACTTGTTCTACAAAACGCAAATGACAAATTTTAAATAGACCTGATTGTATTACTAAATAATCACCTGATTTACTTACACTGCAATACTGATTTTGTAGCTAGTGTCTACTTTTATAAGGCTACTTTTGATACCTTGAAAATTTTTATCTTAGGGCGAGCGCTAGCTGCTTTTGCTTTCCTCAATGAGATAGATATCCCACAAAAACAAATTGATAATTTTTAAGCTACAAATCGTTTGTGGTCCCCCCCCCCCTTTTGCATGGTGGACACTAGAGGACGGGAGCTTGAACTACGAGAGGACTACTAGTCTGGCCAGCAGAAGGGGAGATAAGGAGTGAAAGATTTATGAGGAATTAGAATGTAGAACGCCTTATCTTAACTATTTGTACTTGTGAAATATAACATTTCTTTACATTTTTTTTGTGGGATATCTATTTCATTGAGGAAAGCAAGAGCAGCCTTAATAAGGGAATAAAACATAATCGGCCGATAATAAAGTCTGACTAAATGGATCATGTTATATGACAACTAAGTCATTTAATAACATTTTGCTAATATTATTGGAAATTTTTTTTTCTTATTTAGGCAACTATTTTCATGCTCTAGGTTACTAAAAGCAACTATTTTGTTCTTTTTCTTTTGGCAACCCTGAAATGATTCAATGAAAATAAATTTTTTTTTTTCAGAAGCTCTTTTAAAATGTGATCATATTCCTGAAATAGAGAGATTATCTGCTGATTTGATTTCACTAAAAGAGGATCTAAATCTTGTGACCTCTGAGCGAGACTCAGCTAAGGAGGAATTAGAACAGATGTCTCAGCTCTTGCAAGAATATGAAGGAAAGTTGATTTCATTGAAGGAAAGTCTTAATGTGATAACCGCTGAGCGGGATGAAGCAAAAGAAAAATTAGATCAAATGTCTCAGCTTTTTGAAGAATCTGAAACGAGTATGTTTTTAGTTTCAAAAAAATTTTTTGAGCCTTAGAATTTAGTAATATGTAGAACAAACAACTAAGTACTTAGTACAGACAACTCATCTCACAAAAATATTAGTATATTTAAGAAAAATTAAATATTCTAATTACTAGAATACCCTCAATAGGATTTTTTTTTTTAAATTTTTAAAATCCTGCAGAATTTCGTAGCAATAACCATTGAAAAGGCGATCAAGATACAAAATAGACTTGCAACTGAATCTGTGCAAATTGAGCACGTTAAAAAGTGATAACTCAAATTTGCAATTCAAAATTTTAAATTTTTTTTTTTTTCTTTTTTTTTTTAAAAAAAAAAAAAAGAAAAAAACATCACTAGGAGCACAGAAAAGTCTCACAATAATCTCTTCTTCCTGAAAATTATTGCTTTATTAACCTTTTCAGGCAAAAACAAAAAAAAAGTTGCATATAGTCTCATTTTAGTCACCTGTTGCAACCCTGCATTTGTTGTAATTTACTAGTAAAACAAGATTAGATATGTGGTTTGAAGCATTGGTAAACATTGATTTGTTTCACCAATCAATTAGCAGGAGAAAAGTTTTTTAATATTTTTGATATTCAAAGTTGAATCTTGTTAAATTATTGAAAATAAACTCAAAGAATAATTTTACATATAACTTCATGAAATTATTTTCAATTTACAGAGCCTAGTGTCAAAGTCGACCTCTTATTTTTCATTACGAATTGTCTAGTGTACAAGTCAACCGCTAAAAAAAATGAAATGAAAATTTCTAAAATTTAAAATAATAAACTTACAAGATTTTTCTCANTAACCATTGAAAAGGCGATTAAGATACAAAATAGACTTGCAACGGAATCTGTGCAAATTGAGCACATTAAAAAGTGATAACTCAAATTTGCAATTCAAAATTTTCAAAATTTTTTTTCTTTTTTAAAGAAAAAGACATCATTGAGTTCAAGATTATCCACCCAATTTATGCTGAAAAAACATCACTAAGAGCACAGAAAAGTCTCCCAATAGTCTCTTCTTCCTGAAAATAATAGCATTATCAACCTTTTCAGGCCAGAACAAAAAAAAAGTTGCATATAGTCGCATTTTAGTCACCTGTTGCAACCCTGCATTTGTTGTAATTTACTAGTAAAACAAAATTATAGATGTGGTTTGAAGCATTGGTAAACATTGAGTTGTTTCACCAATCAATTAGCAAGAGAAAAGTTTTTTAATATTTTTGATATTCAAAATTGAATCTTGTTGTTAAATTATTGAAAATAAACTCAAAGAATAATTTTACATATAACTTCATGAAATTATTTTCAATTTACAGAGCCTAGTGTCAAAGTCGACCTCTTATTTTTCATTACGAATTGTCTAGTGTACAAGTCAACCGCTAAAAAAAATGAAATGAAAATTTCTAAAATTTAAAATAATAAACTTACAAGATTTTTCTCACAAATATTTCACATTTAGAGTTCATACAGAGATCAGAAGAAGAAATCCGAGGAGTCCAAAATTTTAAATAATTAGTTTAAAAAGTTTGTAAGAGATAGCTAGACAGTTTTTTTTTTCATTAAAAAGCAATTATTATAAGGAACTTGCAAAAATGTATATTTTGCATATTTTTTTCTAGTTCTTTTGAAATAAATTTTGACTTTGTCAAAGTTCATCAAGAAAAATAAAGTTATCACTTTTACAAATAAATACATTTTCCAGCTTCAAATATTTTAATAAATATTACCATATGAAATTACTTTCTTTAAAATACTTTAAAAATTTATATACTTTTATGATTAAAATTTTTCAACTTTTATTAAATAAAATAATAAAAAATAAGTATGAAAAAAATATGCCTTTGTTTGGTACTCCCAACACTTTTTCCTAATATGACATTTATTTTAAAATATTGAATTGAAAATTATACATTGCTAATCTTTTATACAATCACCTATAAAAGTCTTCTCTAGATTCTGATCTTTCAAAACACCTTTACGCTTTTATGCAATATAGCAGTGCTCTTTCTGGTTAATTTAGGAACTCTTAACTTAAATTTTAAAGCGTTATTAGCATTTAAATAAAATACCCTCAATATTTTCAGATAAATCATCAACTGACGATAAATGTTTGCAATTAGAGTCAAAACTACAGGAATCATGTAACGTTCTAGAGCAGTTTGAAAAAGAAGTTGCTTCATTAAGATCAGAAATGTTTGCTGCTGAAAACAAAATTGCTGAAGTAACTGAGGAAAAGCAAAAGCTGCAGGAAACTGTATTTTCGCTCTCTGAAGAATTAAGTAATTATTTTGTATTCTGTAATAACTATGTCTCTAATTTTGCTGTAAGTAAGCATCCGATTCTTTGTTCTGGTGACCTTTAAGCATATAAACATAAGTATACTGTAAATGTATACTAAAGTGTTAAAATATTCATTAAATTTACTAGTAAGCAGAGTCGTTAACTTCTATGAAGCATTCATTGTTGCTATGGAATATTTTCAAATTTTACTTGCTGCAACAAACATTAAAAATTTAAATTTTTTTCTTTGAGATATCTGCTATTCATTTATGAGCAATGCACTCCGTAGATTGCTAATTTTGTATGAGAATGTGTGTGTTCCCCCTCCCCTGGTGAGATCAACTTGAACCTGACCACCAAGCCTTTCCTTTTACTGCCTTAAAAGACTAACTGTTCATAAGAACATGCAGTTGTGATAATTTGATTGCCATTGAGAGAAAAAGGGAACCTGATTCAGAGAGTTTATAGTATATTCTAGAGAAGATGCCTGTTTAAGATATATTTCTGTATCATGCTACGGTTGCTGATATGAAGCAACAGTATACTTAGAAATTCAACCCAGTTTGTTTAGTTGTTCAACTTATTTTAGATCAAGATAAATTTAAACAACTGGTTCGTTTTTCACCATTGAAAAATTTGCTTTATAAATATGTGATTGTGAGCGATTAGAATCACTTCAGAAATTGAGGTTGGCAATTGTGCATCATAGCAATGCAATGCTGAGAGAATGTTAATGATTAAAATTTTCTATGAAAAGAAATATCCTACTGAATTCAGGGCAAGTTAAGGAATTTCAAGGCTAAAAGCACTTTTGATTAAAAAATTACAAATTTAGTGCTGCTGTAATAACTTTCACTTCAGGCAAATTGCAAGAAGTGCATTGTATAAATTATTTGCAAATTAGTATTAAAAAGATCTTAAATAAGGATTTTTTTTTTCCTTGTTCAATTGAAGTATTTAACTTGTCCCATTTTAAATCCTGCTTACATCATATACAATATTTAAGAAAAAAATTTCTTTCTGTTACTTTCTGAAGTTTTCATTAACTCATGTGAACTACTGAAAGGTCTCTGGTAATTTTACGATATGCTGTTCAGAGCCCTTGTACAATGTTGGTAAATCATTAGAGAGATAACTTTGATGCTTCATTTTCAGTTAAAGCTTTTCAGAATAGTATCAAAGGGTAATTGCAAGTCACAATTAAGAATTTTTTTTTTCTTTTCTAAGTTGTTTGTTTTGCTATTCCAGTAGTTCACAACTTTGATGCCGAATTTTCATTAAACAGCTTTTAGAATAATATCAAAGGCAAACTATTGCTCACAGTTAAACTCTTTGGTGTGTGTAAGTCCTTTGGTTAACTCTTACAGTAAGCCATGTGAAAGCTAACAAAAGCAAATTTATTTAAGATAAAATTCATGATTGAATACTTGCTGATTTTGGACTTATCTTTTTTATTCTTGCAAAAAGGTGAACTTTTTTTGATACTTCTGTCATGGGATCAAAATTACACAGATTTTTGGGTAAAAAGAGTCCTAAACTTATTTTCTATTTTAATAACATTAATAAATAGATTTTAAAAAAAGAAATTATTAGTTTGCTAACACTGAATTTTGTTAGCTGCTGAAAAAGGCAAATTAATTCATTAGAAATCCATCTATGACCTTTCACTGAAAATGAAGTTATTATCAGAACAATTGATCCTATTTCAAACATGATAGTCAGACTGCAGATAGCGCAACTGAGTCTCTTTCATTCTTTTCCAATGATGAATTTTGTTTTGAATAATATTGAAAACCCTATGGCAAAGCAAATTAAAATAAATAAGCAAATAAAGTCTGGATATAAAAGAGAGAAAAAATACAAGCAGGATTTTTACACGCCTCTGAAGAAATAGAGAAATATATTTACCCTTGGTAGACACTTTGTTTAGAACATATACGAATCTTTCAGAAAAACTTAACAAAAAAAAAAAGTCCTCTTCCTCATACTCCAGTTGGTGTACAAAGACTATTCTCAGCTTTGAAAATTATCAAGTTAATCTACAGCTCTCTATCAAAGAAGATCTTGCTGAAGATATTTCATTTCTTAGAAATTACTATGCCATCAATTTTTTAGCATTTTTATTTTATTTATTTACTTAAAAAAAATGTAGGTGTTTACATGAAAGAGGCAGAATAATTAATTTCAAAATTCAATCAGATCAGTTTCCTTACCGAGTCTGCATCAATTGATTCCCATTTTTGTAGGTTGATTAATTTCTGGAAGAAAAAAAAATTATAGGTTGTACTTGTGTTTTATTATCACAAATTAAATCTTTGCAATGCTTTTTGTTATGGTTGGGAAATTATATAATTGTTATTTTATTCATTTTAGTATTTAATGTTTCATTGTTGACACTAATTATTTTTGACACTAATTAAATTAATAATTGATTTTATTTTTAATTATGGCACGTAAATTAAAATAATATAATTTATTGATAAGTAATGTTTTTATTAAAAAGGGATCTCTGATTTATTTCTTTTGGGGACTCTGTTCATCTTTCCTTGAATAGCCTGACGTCACTAGCAGTCGCGATTCGCCGATCAATCCAGCTCCAGCAACGGCTGCACCTCCGAAGCGAAGGAGATTACGAATTTTTTTGGCGCGTGACACTTTTCTTCTTTCCATCCTCTTAGAGGGTGTCCCTATTTTTTTAGGTCCTGATGTCGCGCTTCCGGCCGGCCACGCTTAGATAAGTAATTTTTTAAACCGTTTTTTTTAAATCTAATTTTCTCTCTCTTCTCCTTCAGAGTCCCTTAACTTAATTTAATTTAATGTTTAAAGTTTTGATCATGTCATATTGCAATTTGTTAGGACTGAAATGTACAGTCCATGCGTCCGCATATTATAATAATTTTATTTAACCTAGATTTTTACTAATTTCAATAAATACTTTTCGTATATGTTAAACAATGGTGTTTTATTTTAATTCATCTAGGTTTTAATTATTTAAGTTCAGATTATCCTTTAATTAATTAATGTTGATTTAAAGTTTAATCTTTTCGATCATGGCTACCAATCTGGTTAACAATCTAAAAAATTATGTTGTATCAAGTACTTAGATTTTATGTTGTATCAAGTACTTAGAAATTATGTTGTATCAAGTACTGTTAAAATTTAGAAAACACAACTCAGCTAGCAAATGTATTCACTAAAAATTAAAGCAACGATACAACATTTTCGTCTTTAAAGCAATTTAATATCTCTCCATAATTTTTTATACTAATTGTATTAAACAAAATTGTTTTCTTACTAAAGCTTCGGTGTAGTTTCTAAAGAGTTTTATTAAATCAGATAAATTACCTATTTTCCTAAAACTAGTTTGGATTTTCAGCTTCTTCATCTGAACTTATTGAAAAAATGAAAAGTGAGAAACTCGAGATTGAAAACAGTTTGACTACATCATTGGAAAGTCTTAAAGGTAAAATAAATGTTTCATTCAATGAAAGAATTCATTAATCCTTTACAAGATACTGGTCTTCCAGTGATCTCACTTATGTTGAGAAATAATTTTAATCTCTGAAAAAGTTTAACTATGTTCCATTACAAACTGATTTGACAAAGTTTCTTATTTTCTAGTTATGTAGTTTTGTTATTTTTGTGAATCTTAAAAATAATAATGTATTTTTCATAACTTAAATTCAGATGTAGCGTCTAAAAGTTTATTTTAAATAATATCAAATATTCACTTTCTTCTGTCCTTTTTTCTTGAAGTACTTACATTCCAATTTGTTAATCTCTTCGTTAATTTTGCAATTAGTATCCTTAAAAAGAGTTTGAGTAGAGTAAAATAAAAGTGTTACTTTTAATTTTACTCTAAATTGGTTTGTATTTTCAGTTTCTTCATCTGAGCTGATTGAAAAGCTGAAAAGTGAGAAATTAGAACTTGAAAACAATTTGGCTTCATCTGTGGAAGTTCTTAAAGGTAAATCCAATTAAAAAAATTGCACTATTCTCTTGCAAGGCATTTGTTAACAATGAACTGATGCATAATATTTATTGACATTAAAATCTGATACAACTTGAGTGGCATTTTTGATGAGGATGACTTTTGACATAATTTAGAGTAATTTTCTTTGTATTTAAGCAATATTTTTTTTCTAACTGTGAAAACTCCTATTTCAACCTGCTTTTAAATATTGATGAAAGTATATTTGAGAAAAAAAAGAATGACTTTTTTATAAAAGTTATATCAAAATTATGTTGATAAAAATATTTATTTTTCTTAAAGGAACTAATGAAAAACATGATGATCTTAGTAAAAAATTATATGAGGCCACTGAAACTATTGAGCAACAGAAGGCCAAGATATTTGCTTTAGAATCTGAGTGTGACGCTAACAAAAATGAGGCTACCAAATTGTTTGATAAATGCAAAACTCTTGAAGAAGAAATAGGTAATTAGATTCGTTAATTTTATTTATTTATTATTATTTTTTCAATGAAATTATTGAGAATCACTTTTATTGCAGGATTAGTTTCTCAAAATTTGGAGGCATTGAATTCTCAAAAGGAAGCTGCTGAAAAACTTAATGATGATCTGGTAAATTCATTAAAATCAGGTAGGTGTATTTTAATGTTTCTCTACAAATTATTTACATAAAGATTGTAACAATTTATTTTTCTTCCCTATTTTAGATTTGGTAAGCAGTGAGGAAAAATTTTCAAAGATAAAATTGAAACTAGAAGAAACTGATGGTGTTGCAGAAACTAAAGATGCTGCTTTTAATCAGCTAAAAGATGAATACACATGCTTGCAGCAAGAATTGGCTGTCTTAGAATTGGCTGCTTCACTTGGTAAAATTTCTTGACATTTGATTAAATGGCTGTAAAGGAATGAACTAGAAAATAATAACAATATCATCAGAATATGTGTGTTATGCATCATAACAGGGTTCCTACAGGTCAGGGGAAACCTGCAGGAAATTTTGTTTTTACGCTAAAACTTGGGAAAAATTGCAATTTTCTTTTACAAAAACTTGGAGAATTAATATGTCATACCTGGATATTTGATGTCATACCTGGATACCGTCTATTTGAATAATTGTCATTAACAGTAATCAGTTTTTGAGATTCAATTTGAATAATTCTTAGATCTACAATTATGTTGCAGCATAATGATTTTTTATTTTAATGAATAGTTAATAATAAAATTCCCCATTTTAGTGAAAATTCACCATGTTTACATCCTCTTTCAATGATATTTATTTGGCTCACAAAATCTACTATTTAACATTACAGGGCTGATTGTGCCCCGGAAAAATTCCGGATTTTTCCCTAGCAGTGATCCGGAGATCGAAGGTCCAGATGTTTAAAAAAATCCTAGATCGCAGAAGTTTCAGAAAATCAAATTTTCAAAGGTGGAACTTAAAAACNAATACCTAACATGCTGAATGTGTCATCTATAAAGCTATTGTTAGACTATTTTACTATATAATATAAAGAAAATATTTATATCATCCTATTGCAAATATTGCTGCTCATCACTGGCTATTATAGTATCACTATACATTGATTATTCACACAAGAGTTTACACAGTTTATTTTAGTGGTAGCATGTTAACATAGTATATGTGCAGTTGTCTTTTGTTCAATGTACGAAGGATAATTGTTGAAAACTTATATTTGATATCCCAAAATGTGGTTAGGAACTCTATTCAGAGTAGTCTGTAACCACTGCTTTTAATATATTTCGTACACAAAGTATTACAAAAACATTATTAAAAAAAAGAGTACTAAGTAAGAGTTATAAATTGGTAATGAAACAAGGTTGGGGGAGAGTTGTATCAAAATCTAACTAATCACTCACTGCTGAAGAATATGGGACTTATAACAAATTCATGTGCCAGAGATTAAAAAAAAAAGGGCAGTTCAAATGTGGTGATTATGGAACACTTTCTATTTACGGCACCTTTGTTGTATACAGAAAATAAAATTAAATTATTGAGCTTTATTACATACATGAAATAATAAAAGGCTGCTCTAACAAGTCTGGAAATGGAATATTTTTTTATAATTTGTTTGAGTTACAGTCTGTACAAGACCCTCTTAAATTCTCACAAGCTTTGAACTATGGTATTTATAAAAAGAAATAAGCTATTAATTATATTTTTCAGGTGAGAAATGCAATTTGGAACTTACAGATTTGAAACAGAAATTGAACGATGCACAGAAATCACTTGAAGAACAGGAAATCTTTGTATCGACCTTAAAATCTGAGAACACTAAATTATCAAAAGACATCGAAACATTGAAAATTGAACTGGATAGTAAATCTGAAGATAGTTTGAATAGTGAAGCTGAAATAAGTTTTGGTCCTAAAGATAAAGAACTTGATGATTTCAAAATGCAATTGTCCGAGAAGGAAATTGAATGTGACACTCTGAATAATAAGTGCAATTCACTTCTATTCAAGCAACGTGAGCTGGAAGTAGAAATAGCTGCACTCACGAAAGATTTAGGTTGGTTTTTTTTATTATTGACTCATTTATTCAATATATTGTAATTTATTTCCTAGTTGATGGTTGCAAAATTATATCCTGTTCGAAACTAACAAAATTTATGAGCTGAAGTGTCAGAAAAAAAAACTTAACAGGAAACAGTCTTAAAAATCCATTTTACGTTTCCTCTGGCTTTGCAGATTTTTGTACGAGTTTTATGTTTACATTGTTCACGAATATATATTTAATTCAGGGAAAGTATTTTTTATGTATCTTTTCTTTCAATTTATGCATTTATCTTTTGTATGTAATTGTTAAAGTTGCTTTTTATATGCATACCGCTTTTGTAATCAAATTCAAATATATGATTCTTCCACTAATTCCTGGAAATCTGCGAATTTCAAGACTTTGTTAACAGACTTCTGTGAAACAATAATTTATGTTCTGAAAAAATTTTCTCAGAATTCTTGTATAGAATTTCAGTTTGGTTACTTACTCAAAATCTCGTTAACAAAAAATTTGTTCTACTCTTACCAGCAACTTTTTTTTTTCTTCCTAAGTTCTCATCCTTCAGTGATAATGACTTTTTTTAATGCTGATTTGTTAGAAACAAAACGCAACTTCAGGTGAGCTATGAGAACACAAGGCGATAAAAATGGCATCATAAGGAATAACTTAACTATTCAATAGTTTTTTTTTTTTAAACTTGTATTTTAATGAGTAGCAATTTTGTGCAAATTCTGATTTTTAACAGAAGAATTATTTAATCAATGTACAGTAGAGAGGCGATTATCCGGAACGATCGGGACCATCACGATTCCGGATAACTGATTTTTCCGGTTTTCTTCTGAATCGATACAAATTGCCTTTTTTTTTTTTAATTATTTTTTTTAATGTTTATAAAACGAAACTAAAAAATTTTTTTGAAATAGTTTTAAAAATAATAAAAAAGTATAAATAATAATACGCTTAAGTTTAAATAAGGAAAGAAATTATGAAATAAAATTTATATACAGGCTTACATATGTTATTAATGTTATTATTTACATTAATAACATATATAAGCTATTTGTGCTTATGTGAGATTCGTCTACAAATGGCTTTTGATCCATCCTCTAAATCAGTTCTTTCGTCAACTCGATACGCCGTACGCTCTAAACAAAATGGGCTCAAAATCTTGCAGGAAACACTGATTTTTTTGATGGGAGAAAATTAATTTCCGGTTCCGAATTTCTTTCCGGCTTTCTGATTTCCGGATAAGAGGTTCTGCACTGTACATGTATATGCCCGCCTTTTATTTTTTATTTACCTTCAATTAGATCAAATAAATTTTATTATTATCAAACGACGTGTAAATTTTAAATCTCTCGCATTTCAGTAATTGCATTTCAACACGATATATAGAATCTTAAACCCATGTTTTAATATCCTTTTTCTTTCAGTCAATATAATCAATTTTTAATTGTTTTCTAAATTCCAATATTATTACGACACACTAACTCTGAATCGCTCACTTGAGTTATCACTTTTTTATTTGCTTGAATTCTGTCCTAAATCCATGCAGTGTTTCAATGTTTTTATCAGTTATTATTGCACGAATTCTACCTCTTTTTTTTTTCTTTTTTCAATAATTTATTCTTATATTGTTCATAGTTATTGTGATAAGATCTTTCAATAATTCCTTCATTTTTTAACACGATGCCACTATTTTTTCCATGTTTTTTTTAATTCCGATATTTTCGTTGGATATTATCTGTAGAGACAAGGATTTAGTACATTTGAGGAATTATTTTTGACACAATCATTTGTGCAAAAGCCATGCAGTGTTCTGATAGTTTTTTTAATTATTATTATTATATTTTTTATTCAGTTTCAAAGTTTTTAACGATCCTATATTTATTATAATATATGAATCTCGAAACATGCATTTAATTAGCTACTTTTTGATACATCCGATTTGTACGATTTCACTGTGGATACGCTTGGGTTCATCATTGATCTTATTTCACTTATCACAGTTTTTAAGTGATTTTTGGGAATTTTTACAATTTTTTTCAATACATATTCTTTAATGCATGCATAAAAAATTACATTGAGAAAAAAATTACATTGAGAAAAAAAATTAGATAATTCATTCTTCCAGCCATCACATATCTGCAAATTGTTTTGAGCGTTGGTGAAAAAAGTGCATGTGCATTAAAAGTGCTTTACAGAAATAAATATTCTTAATTGTTGAGCTTCTTACCTCTGTATTCAATGAATTTATTAAATTTTCTTATGCGAACCTGTTAAAATAGATTATAAAATTGCACTTCAAATTCTTATGAAATACCTAACTTGAATTTTTTATTTTAGGCACGCTCAGCACAGTGCTTCTTTTGTTATACCGCACAATTTCAAAATAAAATATTATTAATCGTAGTTACAGTTTAAAATCTCATACTTTTTTTTCTTTTTAAAAGAGGGTGCTAGGCCATGGTAGAAATCCTTCGCGGCAAATTTTCTTTTAACTACATTAGTAATATAGTTTAAAAAACAAATGTATTTAGATAAATTTATTGATATCTTTTAATTGATTTGGATTTTTCAGCATCTTCATCTGAGCTTATCGAAAAACTGAAAAATGAAAAACTAGAACTTGAAAGCAGAATAGAAACATCTGGTGAAAACCTTACAGGTAGAATTAGCATTTTTTATGTTTGAAAGAAACAAAATCATTTAAAATCTTTTATTTCAAACAATTTTGTATATGATTTTTAATTAGTTTAATTTCACTGAAAATATTATTTTATCCTTTGTTTTAAATATCTCTAACCCAAAAATAATAATTAAATTTTATGAAAACAACAATTTCTTTTACTAACCTTACTTGAATTGCAAAAGGAAAGCATTTTTTAATTAGTATGACAAAAAAAATATTCTTGACTCTTTTTTTATTAAGTATTAATAATATGTCAATAAAAATATATTTTCTTAAAGGAGCTGAAAAGAATTATGATGATCTTAGTAAGAAATTGAATGATGCTACAGAAACTATTGAAACACAGAAGGCCAAGATTTTTGCTTTGGAATCTGATCGTGATGCTAACAAAAATGAAGCTTGCAGTTTATTTGATAAATGCAAATCCCTCGAGGAAGAAATAAGTAATTAGATTTGTTAATATGTGTGACATTTTCCATTTCCTAATTGTGTTCATAGTATTTTTTATACAATTATTATTAATACTTTCTCTAAATTTATTTTAATAGTTAGCTGTAATAAAAAATGAAATGTTTTATTGATCAATTAAGTATTTTTTCTCTCAAGCAACATATGTGCAGCTGTCAGACTGAATATTTTTTCTAAAATTGAGCTTGCTGCTTTTTTTGTAACTATAGTTACACATACCAGGGATGCTACACCTGCGCCATTTGCGACAAACTGAGACAAAACGGCAGAACTGCGCCATTTTGCGACATTCAGCTCAGTTTCTGCCAAAGCTGCGTCATTCTGAGACAAAACGTCCAAAATTTGGCAAACCTGAATTCAGTTTCAAATATTAATCCGCATTGCCGTGAGTCATTGGAGATCATTTTGCCGTTCACGTCTCCAAGGGATGAAAGACTTCCTCGAAAAAGCGGAAATCCGCTTTTTTCTCCCAATTTTTAAAATTTTCGACCATGTTCCAAAAACTAAAATTTTTAGGGAGTCCAATTAGAGAAACCCAAGCCGCCGGAACGATAGTCGGATTCCCGCGACTTCCGCTATAGAGTGGAAAGGAGTCTAAAGGCCTGGTTTCTTAGGACAGGACGCCGTCAGCTGGAAATCAGCGTTAACCTCTGATTGGTCCATTTGTGAGTTTGATAGTATACGTCATCGAACGCTCATNGTTTACCAGTATATTCTAATTTCTCTGTATTTGTTGATGAAATTAAAAAAAAGAAAATTGGTAAAATATCCAAAAATACTTCTTAATCCTCAACAGACAGTGCTATTGCCAGTACTGAAGTATTTTGAGTGTTAATAGTTTAGCCATGATAATTCAGCAGATAGAGCGTTTGCCTTCCAAAAAGTTGAACAGAGTTCAAATCTAAAGGAAGGCTGGTTGATAAGAATTCTGCATCCAGCTTGCACCAGCCACAATGCTGACATAAAATATCCTCAGTGGTCGATGGATCACGGGTTAGAGTCCCCTTGCCGTGAGGCTAACCGTATGTGGTTTTCCTCTACATGTAACTCAAATGAAAATTTCTCTCAATGTGATCCAGAAGTTTCCTTGTCTTCTGGATTGGTTTCAAAATTAAAGGACTACAGGCTTGAACATCAGTAGTTGTGAGCCCTAAATTGGATCGGCTGTTATTTCCAACATTGGTTTATTAGTTGGGAAAAAGGTAATTATCATTAAAAAATATTGTACAGTGTGTTTTTCTGTGTACCAAACAAAAGGTTATTCTGATGTAAGAGTATACTCAAAGTTTTACTGTTTTTTTTTATTTATTTATTTTGTATAGGCACATTTAAATATAAGTATTTATTTTTTTTCTTTTTACAGAATTAGTGACTAAAAATTCAGAAACCTTAAGATCACAAAAGGAAGCTGCCAAAAAGATCGGTGATGGTCTGATAAGCTCCTTGAAATCAGGTACACTTGTATCTAATTTTAATTCTCCTCTGTATTTTATACTGAGTACTAGTAGCTTTGCCTAGTACTGCTATAGTAAAAGAATTTTAGAAGATATTCATATTTTTGACGAACAAAAGCGTTTTTCTTCAATTTTTTAGAAGGGTTATTACTTTCATTTAATTATTTGGAGGGAAGTACTTTTTGAATCAATTATTTTTAAGATTTTTGTTCCAACTTTTCACATTTATAAGCCTTAATAAGGAAACGGCAATTTTTATTTAATAAATGAGTTAATATTTTTAACAGAGTTATTTTGGTTCTAAAAAGTGGAGATTAGGTTCTACTAGTTTTATTAATGTGCAACATCATTTATAATTATGTAACTTCATGAAGTTTACAGTACTCTTTTATGTAAGCTTTGTCTTTAATTTTGTGTATCAATTTAAGTAGACTACTTATACAGTAATCTATAAGAGTAAATAATCATAATATCTTTTACAGTAATTGCTTGAAAAGTTTCTACTGCAATGTAGTTAAAAGTGTTATAAATACTACATCAGGTGCTGCAAAAATTAGTTGTTGACTTTATTAGTTGTTGCTGTGGTAATCCTTACAAATTTTAGAATTCATTGTGGCTCATTTATATATTGTTTGATTTTTTCATTTTATTTATTATGTTTGACATATTTCGACTTAGTTTGCATTTTGGCTGAAATATTGAAAGAAAAAGAAAACTTGGTTAAACTTAAGCGTATATAATACTTTGTTTTTTTTTTTTAATTTGTTTTGCATTTTGCTTAGATTTTAATTTATTTGTCTGTATCATTTGTAAACAAAAAAAATTGATTATTTTATCTGTCATTAAAATTATCACTAATATATTAAACATTTATGAACCCTTAAAAAAGTATGAAATTAGTGTGTCATATTTTTTAGTTGTGATAGTTAGTAGTTAATATGCTTCCATCAGATTTTCATATTACATTTTTGTAACAAAATTACCTATATTACTCAGATAAGACTACTTTTAATGTTAAAATTACTTTTTCAGCAGGTAATTTAAAAAAAAAATACTTTAATGATTAATTTTTCTTTATTTTAGACTTGGTAAACAGTGAAAAACAAAATTCCGAGATAAAATTGAAACTGGAGGAGGCTGTTGCATTAGCTACAAGTAGAGAAACAGCATGCAATCAGCTAAAAGAGGAACATACATCCTTGCAGCAGAAATACGCTCTCTTAGAAAATAAACTTTCTTCACTTGAAGATATTCATGGTAAAAAAATATATATTACTAAACAAGATACACCATTGATTTTTATTATGATCTTCCAAAATAAGGAAGATATGTGTTTGCCCTTACAAAAAACATAGTCTTTATAACGATACAGCTCAAAATATTTAGTAAACTTAAAAAATTTAGAAATTGGGAACATTTTAAACTAGCTTAATAAGACTATTCATGTAAAAATAAAAAAATTTAAAAAATCATTACAAGGACTATTGATTCCTCCAAAAAAAATTTTTATAAAAATCAAAGCAATCAAATCTAATAATTGTTTGACACAATATTTTACCAAATGTTAGAATTAACTAGATACAAATCTTAAGATTTAGAAATGATCTTGTTTCTTTGAATAGGTTTAACAATTTGTCGGAACAGTACTAAGTATAAACTAAAGGGGTACACCAATATCTAATTAATCAATGCTAAGGAAGACTGGACCAAGAGCAAAATCCTTTTAATGGCTGAGAAAAACAAAAGTTAAAAGGCAGTTTTTAGAAATACTTAATGTCATCAGGTAACTAAAAAAAATTAACAATTGTTTTTTTTTTATGCCATCGTAGTGATTCAATAGAGGGATACGAGTTGATACTGTTTCCATTTCTTCATTGCTTAAATATATAAATTTTGACCCTTATATATATTTTTTATTTTACTTCGTTTTTAACATGAAATCTTAAGTGTATAGAAGATGCGTAACTTTTCTATGGTGCTTTTTTGCCTGATTTCCTTCACGGTACTTAATTAACATTCTAATAATTAGCATAACATAATTAACATTCTAAATTGCAATTTTTAACATTAATATTTAATCTTCAAATTGGATCTTCCAGTTGATGGTTGAATAAGTAATAACATTTCAGAACAATATATTTTTGATAAAATTGATATTTTATTTAATGCAGTAATTCTTTTCAATTCGAAGAACATGTTTCTGTTGGTGAATGTGTCCCTGCAAATTTCATGTATTTCTTGTCCAAAACAGTGTATATCTGGTATAATAAGGGTAGCTATTAGGGAACACCTTGTATAGACAACTACAATAACAACGTTTACAGAAAAGAAGACTTGGTGATTGAATTCATAGTTGGTATAATTAAAGACTGTTGAGACAAGTTTTTGCAAAAATGATATAAAGCAGTTATAAATCATTTCTGAAACACATTGCTGCTAGCTCACCTGAACACCCATTCTAAACAAAAATTCCCAAAATTTTTAGACTACTATAATTATGAAGAAAAAAAATAATCTGTTAATTACTTTTTACAGGTGAGAAGTGTAATTTGGAGTTGACAGATTTGAAGCAGAAGTTAAGTGATGCACAGAAGTCCTTAGAGGAACAAGAAATATTTATATCCACATTAAAATCTGAGTATGCTAAATTAACACATGACAATGAAACTTTAAAAATTGAAATGGATCGCAAATCAGATGAGAGTATACATAGTGAAGCTGAAATAAGTTTCGGAGCTGGAGCTAAAGAACTTGATGATTTAAAAATACAATTATCAGAAAAAGAAAAGGAATATGAAACTCTTAATAATAAGTATAATGGCCTGGAAGATAAAATTGCTGCACTCACCAAAGATTTGGGTTGGTATTTTTAAATATATATTATTCTTTTTTTTCTGTATTCATAAAGTCCAGGTTGATTGTCAAAATAGTTTTTTCTTTTTGGAAACTGACAAGATTTGTAAAATCTAAATTTGTGTTTAAAATTCTTTCTTTTTTTTTTCATTTCACTTATCTGTTTTTTTTTTTTTTTTTAAATTATTATTATTATTCAGACTTGCATTGTCCATAATTGAAAGTTTTTTGAGTTAATCAAAGGGTGTAAAACAATCACTTTTCCTGTGCACTTCTTTTTTTTTTCTTGTTCTTCTTACCTAATGCATAAAATTAAATTAAAACAGCATTTAGCATACCTATTTCTTTCATTTCAGATTTTTTTTAGCCTAGGTGATAGATAGTTATATTATAGTCTTTGCTATTTTGTATGTTTTTAAATAGACTAAAAAAATGAATTTGACTGATTGTTAAACTTCTCATTTCTTTATTCAATGAGTTCATTAAGTTTTAATTTGCTTACTCAAGTCTACGGAATAACGTGAAAGTAAATTAAGTTTTATGAAATTACACTTCAAACTCTTACAAAATACCTAACTTGATCTTTGATTCCAGCCTCTTTTGCCTTACGTAGTGTTTGTGATCATGTATTTCGCACCTTCAGTTTCTTTATTCAACAATTTCAGAAGAAAAGATTTGAAAATGATATAGAAAGCTTGAATGTTCGTTTATTGTAAATTAAAAACTATTTTTTCACTTTTTTAAACAATTTCTAAGAATTTAAATAAGTCTTATTTGTTAATGTTTTATTCACTTAGATGTACAAAGCACAAAAAGAAAATTATCCTAAATCACTTTTAATCTAATGATTGGATTTTCACATACTAGGATTCAGTCTAATTGTTCGCGAGGGTGACTTTAAATATGCTAATTAGTTAGTGAAAACAATATTTTTTAATGATTATGAATCAGGCACAAAAATTTACTTTTACTGAATAAACAAAACTTTTTTCAGTGGATTTGGATTCCTGACCCTCAAAATATAGTGAGTAGCTACAATTTGGAGAAAAAAAAATATGATCCAAATAGTTTAGTCTGAAGAGCAGTTAAATATACTTTTTGCACTGTTCACCATTGCTCAAGAAATTTTTATACCAATAAAATTTCACACAAAGAAAATATATCTTTAATATTTTTTATTTTTATAATTTTATTTCACTGTAAAAAGAGAAAATTTCGAATTGTAGCGAATAATTTGCAAAATTTAAAAGTGTATATCTTACAATAATTCACTCAAAAATTTCTTGATGTGGCAAAACAGAAGCAAAAAGTAAAATCAACATTTAGGGATCTAATTTTTTGACCTAACTATTAGGACCATATTTCCAGAATCTATTTATTTTACCTAATTTTTAATTTTGATGAGATCTGTGCTTTTTCTTCAATTTTTTTCCCTAGATTATATCTGCGTCTATTTCTTTTCAACTTAAAAATATTTTTTTAATTTGAAACATTGTAAAACATTTTTAGTATATTACATGAAAATAATCCAAAGAATTATAGCAGTAAACATTTTAGTTATTAATGAAGTCATCTAAAGTAATCTGTTTATTATTACTTCATATGCTTCTTCATGAACTACCCTTGGAATCTTAGCTCACTCCAAAAGAGAATGTATTATTAATCAGTACAATTGTTTTCAAGATAAATTATGGTTGTTTTTACTTAGCACCAAAAAACCTCTGATGTAAACCATCTAATTAATTTAAATAAGGCCTAGGCATAAGCATACATTTAAGAATAGTTATTGCTAATCTTTTCTTTAAATGGTAAAAAAATAGATATTTTTTTTTAATTTGACGTGTAATAACTGAAAAAGTAGTGACAGAATTAATAACATTTTCGTCTCAAAATTTTCCTTAAAGATTTTTCTAAAAATATGCATAATGTATAGTTTTGGCAATGGAAGAATAAAGAGACATGCACCCTTGTATTGTGGTAATTTTCTGAAACTCTTACTGCCATGGTCACAGTAATTTTCATTTTTTGTAATGTATTGAGAATATTTTAAATGTTATGTTTCTTCTAATTATCAATATAAATTTAGAATCTGCTTATAATGATCGAGAAGTTTATGAAAAAGAAAAGGCTGCTGCTACAGAATCTTTAGAAAATCTGAAAACAGATTTCCAGAATGGTATAACAATATTTTTTATATTTGCTACATATTTAGTTTAGGAAGTTTTGCAATTTTTTTTCTCACTAATTTTAATGAACTTAGAATAAAAGCATCCAAATTAAAATTTCAAAAGGTATATGTTCCACTTCAAGGTATCAAAATGCATAAATCTTTTATTTTTTCACTTTTTTCCAGAAAATTTTGTTGTGAGCATGTACTTGCTAAATAAAAACTATAAATTATTTGTACTCATGTTAAATATATAAATAATATTTACGATTGTTTTCTTTTAAAAAAATCGTATTCTAGAATAAGGTTTTCCTTGTTAAATTTGTTTAACCCACTGGAGGTTCTACACTTAAAAAGGGTCATACATCATTTATCCTCACAAATAGTCATAAATGTTGAAAGCCTTAGTCCACTTTTCTTCCTACAGATGATCCTGCTCTTAAAAAAAGCCTCCGAAATCGCCATTTCCAGTGAGTAAAAAAAAGGGACTACCCTAATTAACTTTTGATCTAATGATTGGATTTTCACGTTCTAGGACTCAAATCTTAATGGTTCGAAAGAGTGACCTTAAATATGCTAATTAATAAGTGCAGACGATATTATAAGTTCTGGAATCAAACATAAAAACGTACTTTCTTAGATGAACATACCTTATTCTCCCCTGATGGATACAGATTTCGAAGCCCCTAAATATAAGGGGCAGCTTTAATCTGGTCCCAGTAACAATTTGGTCAGGAAATTGCTATAAAGTTTTGACCCTCTTAATGTTAATTTTACTTTTTGCGTATTTCTTCATACCTCGAACATTAATAAAAATAAAAAATTTTGCTAGAAATTTCATGCAAAAACAACTTTTAGTATATATATATATATATATATATATATTTGTTCACTGATAATCGAAAAAATTGTGAATAGTTAGATATAAAATGGGTGGCAGAAAAAAATTCAGGAAAATTGGTCAATTATTTCCTGAGAAATCTAATTTTAAGTGTCTCTTTTGAAATGTAATTTCTCATGACTTATATTTCTCATAACTGTGCCATATAAAATTAAATTTTTCAAAATTGTGCAAAAAAATTTTATACCTTGCAATTAAAAAAAAATTTAGACTGTTAGTGCATAAAATAATAAAAAGTACTAAAGTTATTTTTTTTAATAAACGATTTTATAATTGTATGCAAAAAGAATCTAATTGGCTTAAAAAATTTTCAGGATATAACGAAATACACAAAAGTAAAATTTACGCCACAGAGTTCAAACTTTGGAGCTCTCTTCTGGCCAAACTATTGAAACCATATTTCCTGAATTGCAACTACCCCTTCTATTTTGTGAGTCTAAAATCCGCTAATCCTAGTCCGCTGAAAAAATATGTTTAATTATAGAAAGTATATTTTTGTGTCTGATTTCTTAACTTAAAATAATGTGTGCACTTATCCATTGGGATATTTTAAGTCACTCTATCAAGCTATTAAAATTGAATCCGCAAATGTCCATTAGGTGATTAATTCTTTAAAAAAAAAATCCAACACTTAGATCAAGTTATTCATTGTTCTTTTTTTTTACGCATTATGCATGAAAAGTTGCTAGTGCTTTGCCCCTCCTACCAGATATGGGCATAAAATTAATATCTTTCTCAGTTGTGCTTAATTGAAGTCCAGTCCATTGATTTTAAAAAAAAATATTCCATACAATGCAGAAACAATAGAATTTATTTCCTTAAGAAGGGGTAGAAATATAAAAAGAATTCTCTATCTAACTGACTGAAACAGGCAAGTACGAATCAAATAGAAGTGATTTTAATATTTATTGTTAGCTCACAAGGATTAAAATATCTAAAAAGAGTAATAGGTAAAAGACTCAACACTGGTGATTAATTTTTAAAAAAAAAAATAATACGGTTAATCTTTATAAATATGATTTACCTATAAGTACAAAAAATAAGCATAAGAATGTTACACATTTAAACAATATGTATTAATAGACTATTTACAGTATTATTTACCACTTTTAAATGACCTTCTAATTAGTAAGATTACTTTTTTTATTCATAAAGTAGTTGACAAGTAATAGTTTTTCTTAATTCTTTGTAAGTGATTAAAAAAATATTTCATAGTCAGTTTCCTATTATGAGTGGCATTATCTCTCATGATTTAGAAATAGTTTATATATATATGCATACATATATTTACACACAAATTTAATGAAACTTAATTAGAATTTTGACACCTTTTATAGTTATTTTCTTATTTTTCTTGTAAACGCATCAATATCAAAATATTATATGTATGTATTTATGTTTTTTAGTTTCTGCCACTTTGACGCAAAAAGAAACTGACCTAGTAAGCTTAAAGAATGAGTGTACTCTATACAGAGAAGAAATTTCAGACTTAAAGAAATCAGAGAGTGATTTGAAAGATAAGTCTGAAGATTTAATGAATAAACTTGGTAAGAAAACTTTTATCATTATCTGATATGTGCATTATTTTTGTGGGGGGAAATAATTTTAATTCTGGAGAATCATTAGTTTAATTATTTAATTGCTAATGCCCATTGTAATCAGAGTTTTAAGAAAAGACCAAACTGACCGGTTTCATTAAGAATTTGCAATTTATTCTATGTCAAAATAACCACATTTAAGATTCACAAATATGTTTAAATTTATTGTATTGATGATTTTAATTTTAAAAAAAATATAGCTAAAGTATGTTCTGAAAAATACACTTCAGAATTCTGATATTGTAGCAAACTGCAATACTTTGTTAACTAAACTACTGTAATGAAAAAAATCAATGCAATAAGTTCTATTTATATAACAAAACTTAAAGATACTTAAACAATATTATATCATCAGTTTGGCTTTTAGTAAGAAATGATTCTGATTTCGTGTTCAGTAAGTAATTACATTTTAAAATAATTTATAGAAGAAATATATAACTTCAAAAGAAATCTTGTAAAAAAAAATTTTTTTAAAGTTCTATTTAGTTTTAATTATTTCATATCATAATTCTTTTATATTTATATTTGGAATATATTTTTTTATTATCATTTGAATAGTACCATATTTTGAAAAACATGTTTCCAAAGTTTTTTGTTACTGCGCCACATTCTTTTGTTTGTTTATTTATTTATAAAATGATTTGGCACGACTGAGCCTAACTTTAGTACAATTTGAAATTACACTGTACTTAAAGCTTTTAAAAAATTAAAAAATAAGAAAAAACATTAGAAATTTGAATATACTCATAATTCAAATTAAATGCTTATCCACAGCTACATTCAGGAATTTGAACAAAAGTAGAAATAAATTTGTATATGTTGCGGCAATGCATCAACAAAATGTTGACAAATATCATCTTAATTCTCCTTGAATCACTAAAAATCAGACAGCTGCTGGTTACAATAGCTGAATGTTTACTGTGTCTACTTTTAATTTTCCTCAAAACGACTTAAAACTGGTTGTAAAACAATATATTGAATTTGTTTTTGGAAAAAATAAAATGTCTTTTGCTACAATAATATAATGTTTTTTCTTTTTACACCCAATTTTGAATTAGCAGCCCAGTACATAATATTTTATTCGTTTTTTACTAGATGCTGCCAATATAGAGCTATCAGATTTGAAGACAAAGCTACTGACTTTGGAATCTGAATTAATTGATATGCAAGCTGTTGGGGAGGAAAAGAAACTGTTGGAAGAAAAATACTCTTCTCTGATTGAAAATAACAGTAATAATTTTTAAATAATCTGCATATTTTTGCTCTTTCCGAAAAAATATGCAATTGCATCTGTCCTTTCTTGATTATTCTATTAACTTTAAAGTATGGCATCAAAAATATCATTGATAAATTAATGAACAGGGATGAGATTTTTCCGCTTTTTAGCGGATTTCCGCTTTTTTCACTTTTATCTCTTGAATTTCAGCTTTTTTATCAAGAATTCAGATTTTCTAAAAATTTCACTTTTTTTATAAGTATTCCGCTTTTTCAGAAAATTCACCGATTTTCAAAGAGAAACAGAAAATTACAGAAATTACATAGCTACCAATCCTTTCTCATTTTTACTTATTTTAGCTATTTTCTCCCCTTTTTCACGCAGCAGATAAAATTTTCCGAATTTTTTACCCGCCCTCCAGATAGATCCGATTTTCGTAGTTCAAACGATGCTGCTTCTGACAAGCCTTTTAGAGGTCCC